CAAAGGATGGAATAGAAAATAGAAACTAAAGGTATAAAGGTACAAAAGCTAGGGGAAAAAGGGGAAATTTATGGAGGACAAATATGTACACGAGGGTTGTCGTTGTAGCCCGTCGTCACGAGGCACGTAATGCAAAAGGCTTCTCACGATCTTCAACTCACATCCAACCAACATAAATGTAACACGTGTAAAAGTTGTGATCGTAAAAAAGAAGAAGAAGAGAAAACCAATGGTCAACTGGGCAAGATGATCTCTTCAGGTTGGCTAAGAGCTCGTATACAAGATGCACATGACCACATGCCTCAAAAATTCGGCAAATGAGGCTCAATCACAAGCACCTTGGCCCTTAATGCCTAATGCTCAACAATGCACATCACTGCAACCTAACACTTCAAACTCTCCAACTGCCAAATTGGAGGCAATTGTTTTGGATCCACCCAATACGCCTACAACACCTTCATGTAACCATTATATATATATATATATATACAAATATATTACTCGTGTGATGCAAGGGGAAAAAAGATTAAAAATTTTGTCGTCTGTCGTGGTTGGTTAATCACACTGCAAACCTTACACTTACAAAAAACTGTGTTGTTATTTTGTTCTATATTTCAGGTGAAAAAACTACAGGATTAACACAGAACTTTGCAAATATCAACCACGAACAAAAATCTGCTATTCAGAGAGATAATTAATTTTGCATACAACTACATCACAATACACCATAATACGTTATAATACACCATGTTAACATGAGGAAGGGATGTAAAAAGAAAAATGCATACAAATCATTGCTAACTATAACATTCATCAACAAAATCAAGGTAACAATAACATCAAGCTAATATGGAGTTAAAAGATCAGCTTTTACCTATAATATGAAAACGCTATTCATTCAGTGTCAATTCGTAGCAATCATTGGAGGGATGAGTTCAACACTTACTAAATATGTCATCTTCTATGTGATTTTCGATTCTTGTGCCTACGATACAGAAGACAAAAACTCATTAAATAAGTAACACTAATATGTTAACATCAAAAAGTAATAGTATAAGCAAAAAACCAAGACTGGATTAAATTTTTGTAAGCAAAAAAAAAATGTCGCCTGAATGGGATTTGAATGCAACTTAACCAAATAAGCATGTATGATTCATATTTTTTGCTTACACTGCAACAAACGCATATAAACAGAATCAAATCAACTACACTAATATTTGAGATAGGCTTTCATTTATTGCAATCACATTTAAAAAATTAAATAATAATTTTTTGCAAGGATTTGTGTCGTTAGTATTTGAAATTTTACAAATTTGTATTTACAAAAAAAAATCATATTTAGGAATTTAATTATTAAAGAAGAAGGATGAAATTTTAATTTAATTATAAAAATATATTGGTGAGCCGGCCCTCCGGGCCGAGCCCAGTTTTCCACCTCTAACTATCAGCAATTTATATAAATAATTATTTTTGCAAGGATTTGTGTCGTTAGTCTTTGAAATTTCACAATTTGTATTTACAAAAATTGAAATCAGATTTAGTCATTTAATTATAAAAGAAGAAGAATAAAATTTTAATTGAATTATAAAAATATATTGATGGGTCAGCCCTCCGGGCCGAGTCCAATTTTTCACCTCTAACTGTCAGCATTTTATATATATAATTATTTTTTGCAAGTATTTGTGTTAATTACACCTTTGCATTAAAAAAATAAAAGTTTAATTTCTTTCTTATGTATAAATTAATAATTTTTTTTACAGAATGACAGACATCATTTTTTATTTAAATTTAAAATTAAATTTTTTTATATTAAATAAGTAACACTAATATGTTAACACCAAAAAGTAATAGTATCAGCAAAAAACCAAGATTGGATTAAATTTTTTTAAGCAAAAAAAATTGTCGTTTGAATGGGATTTGAATGCAACTTAACCAATTAAGCATGTATGATTCATATTTTTTGCTTACATTGCAACAAACGCATATAAACAGAATCAAATCAACTACACTAATATTTGAGATAGGCTTTCATTTATTGCAATCACATTTAAAAAATTAAATAATAATTTTTTGCAAGGATTTGTGTCGTTAGTATTTGAAATTTTACAAATTTGTATTTACAAAAAAAAATCATATTTAGGAATTTAATTATAAAAGAAGAAGGATGAAATTTTAATTTAATTATAAAAATATATTGGTGGGCCGGCCCTCCGGGCCGAGCCCAGTTTTTCACCTCTAACTATCATCATTTTATATAAATAATTTTTTTTGCAAGGATTTGTGTCGTTAGTCTTTGAAATTTCACAATTTGTATTTACAAAAATTGAAATCAGATTTAGTAATTTAATTATAAAAGATGAAGAATAAAATTTTAATTGAATTATAAAAATATATTGATGGGTCAGCCCTCCGGTCCGAGTCCAATTTTTCACCTCTAACTGTCAGCATTTTATATAAATAATTATTTTTTGCAAGTATTTGTGTTAATTACACCCTTGCATTAAAAAAATAAAAGTTTAATTTCTTTCTTATGTATAAATTAATAATTTTTTTTTACAGAATGACAGACGTCATTTTTATTTAAATTTAAAATTAAATTTTTTATATTAATTATATATATTTTTTATATAATTTTTTTTTAAAATGGGTCCATTTTGAATTTCATAGGGACCAGTCCACTAATTTTTTTTGTAAGGGACTAAAGTGAGGACCATATTTTTTGTTAGGAACCCAAAAGAATATTATTCGATAAAAAATACAATTTACAATTAAATAATTTATAGGCTGTATTAGTATAAATCTATTTTAACATCAACTCTATCCCAAATTATTTTGGATCGGTCGGAGATAAACCCAAATATAAGATAGAAAAAATTGAAAAAAGAATCAATTTTTTCACAACGCTAATGATTTGGTCTAATCAATTTAAATTCAATCTAAATATCCGACCAATCCAATATCATTTGAAATAAATAGTGCAATACCAGCATAAAATTATAAAAAATGATCGAAGGTATTTTTCTAACAGATCTGTTAGTCTGTTACGGTCGAAGTTACAACCTTTATAGCTTAAACAGCCCCCCCCCCCCCCCCCCCCCCCCCCCCCCCCCCCACCCCCACACACACACACACACACCAAAAAAAAAAGTTACAACCTTTGTATAAACTTTCATAAAAAGGTGAATAAAGTGTGTTTAACGAAAAATAAAAACAAAAATGAATAAAGTGTAGTCATAGTTTAAATCGAGTGAGAAGTAAATTCCTCTCTGTGCTTATTAAAAAACCCCCTACATATATGCAAAATTCTTATTTTACCATTTTCCCTTATTTTTCTTTCTTTTTATTTTATATGTTATTTCCTTTTTTGTCCTCATCCTTGTACGTTCACACCCCCTCCCCGTTTATATATTATTTCTATCTTTTACTTGCAACTTCGTGCATTGTATTTGTACCTATATCCTACTAATTGGCCTTCCTTTTTAGTAGGGGTGTTCATCAACCGATCCAAACCGATTCAAATCGCAAAAACCGAACCGAAAAATCGATAACCGAATAAATCGAAAACCAAAAAAAACCGCAAATTTTAATTGGATTAGATCGGTTTTTGGATGAGTTGATGAAAACCGATCGAATATATTAATTCCCGTCTACCTAATTGGTCTTTTCCCCAATCATAGCCCAAAAATTTCTAAACTCAAGACTCATTAACTCATCAACTAAACCCAAGAAAAAACCTATTCACGTCTCATCAACAAAATTTCATCTGTGTAGAGCTTCATATCTCATGGTATAAAAAAAAACAATAGTATTGTTTACTGATATTTTTGTATTTAAAAAAAAACTATAATATTGTTTACTGATATTTTTGTATTTAAAAAAAAATTACAAAACCAATGTATACAATATTTGCACAATAATCATGAAACTAATTTTAGGATATTCAAAAAATCGAAAACCGATCCAATCCAAACCGAAAAAAATTGGATTGGATCAGATCGGATTTGAGAAAAAATACAAACCGAATGGATAATTACATGATCAAACCGAAGAGATTGGAGTTTTGCTTCCAAAACCGATCCAATCCAGACCACGAACACCCCTACTTTTTAGCATATAATTTTGCTATTTTTGTGTCACAAATTTTTATTTCACCGCCATCAATTCATTTCATCACTTTAAGAAATTCATTTTTAAGGTTTTAAAAACCAAGCATAATAATTACTATTACAAAAATCGTCTACGATAAATTTATAAATAAAGCACAATTTGTTTTTGTATGAAAATCATGATTAATCTACATAAAATAATTTGAAGATGATTATACTTACTACTATTTTAGATTTATTATTTTTACTACCTAATTAGTTACCATTAAAAAATTAATTACTGTTAATTTTAAATTAATCAAATAATAATTAATCAGATAATAAAAATAATAAAATAAAAATGATAATAAATATAACCTTTTCCGATATAAAAATTTATATCACAACTCATGTACAGAAACTAGCTAGTCTAAAGATTTTTAGTAGATGTAAATGCAGTTTTTCCAAAACCGAGGACACTCAGTTGTCTTCATTGCACAAAAGAAAATGGAGTCTTCTCAGGCTTTTAGGACTCGTCAGACTTTTTAGTTTTCATGAATTTGAATTTTTTTAAATTTTTAATTTTCAGTTATTATCGTAAACTGAATATAAAAATTGTATTTCTAAAAATTGAGATTTCTGAGTAAAAAAAATTTCTCCTCTGCCCAACGTCCCTAATTTATTTGAGCACACAAATTTAACTTCGAGTGAATCATCAATTCATTTTCCCTAGATTGCAATGAGAAAGTTTAACTTATGAAAATGATTTTAACAGCAATGTAGAGCACAATCTGTAAGAAAAGCTCAATCTGAATAATCTAGGAACAGAAATGTGAAAGTAAAAGATTAAACAAAAACAGAACACAGAAAAAATAAAATGCAAGCAACAGTAGTAGATGCAGTTCGGGAATTAGGTAGAGTTGGCAGCCAACCCATCGAAGCTGCACCTTCCTTCATGAGAGTCCAAATTCCAAAAGCGTGAAAGAATGTCCTTACCAAACAACGAAAAGCTACCCGTTAACGGTTTAACAGACGTTTTGCGAGTCCCGCGGGGTTAACTCATCCCTGTACGGTGTTAGCATATCTCAGTATCCAAACACACCGCAAAAATGGCCAACTAGGACAAGAAGAGTATCAGTTATTTATTGTCGCAATGAAAACTACTCGTTTGATGGTTAAAAAGCCGTAAACGTAAACCCTAGCAGTTTAAATAGCCTCCAACTTCTTCTAATTCATTCTCTCTCACTTCACAAATCACAACGCACTCGCTGTTCGATTCTCCGTTGCTCTCGCGGGTGTTCTAAACCCTAGAGGAGACACTTCCTAGGGTTTAGATTCCTCATCGTTTTTTTTTTCAATTCTCGTTTTCTACGTTGATCGGGGTTCATATCGAAGATTTTTGATTTTTTTGATCGAGTTTTGGTGCTATGGATCTTCCAAGTCTTGCTGTTGTACTCCAAGCTGCTCTCAGTCCGAATCCCGATGAACGGAAGGCAGCTGAACAGAGCTTGAATCAGGTTCGAGTCTATTGGTTTCTGGAAATTCAGTTGCTGATTGAATTTTTGATCGGTTGTGCTTTGTTTGACTCGATTCACTTCAGTACTAGCGTTTAGGATGCACGGATACTTGTAAAACGTATCAGTCTTGGTGTCTGTTGGTGTTGGCTCTCAATATAACTTGTGAATTTTGGTTTATGACTGGCTGATTGAATGTGGCAGTGATTTAGTTCGATGGATTTTATTTGGTTGTATGCGTTATGATGATCCTATTGAATCTCGAATAACTTTCCTGCAAGTGTTTATGAATTTCGGACACTTCAAAAACATGTAATTTTTTTTTCATGTATATATCGGTGTCCATTTTCTCTCTATATAACATGAATTTTGGTGTCTGTATACTGCTTGAACGTTGTAGGGCTTTAATTTGATGAATTTTTCTAACATCTTCTATTTTCTTAATTCTTTTAATATATGTATATACAGTTCCAGTACGCGCCTCAGCATCTGGTGAGGCTGCTGCAAATCATTGTAGACAACAACTGTGACATGGGTGTGCGGCAAGTGGCTAGTATTCATTTTAAGAACTTCATTGCAAAGAATTGGTCTCCTCATGACACTGGTATGCCATTTATCATAGGTGGGAATTAGATAATGAGTCCATTTGTTTTCTGATCATGCTCTTCTTTCTGGGTTGATGTAGATGCCCAACAGAAGATCTTGCAGAGTGATAAAGACATGGTGAGGGATCACATTCTCGTGTTTGTAACTCAAGTTCCTCCTTTGTTGAGGTACAATTGTTCCCCTGTTGCTGCCTGGTACTTGGCAGCAAATCCTGTTTAGTTTAATATGTCTTGATTTATTGACTTTATGACTCTCGTTACCCTTTGTGGGTGATCACTAGGGTCTAGACTTTGTGACAGATTTATTTTCTTTTGTGTAATGTCTGTTTATTTCTATTGTATTGACTTGTTTTCTTTTCTCACATGTTATGCTTATAGGGTGCAACTCGGTGAATGCCTTAAAACAGTTATACATTCTGATTATCCTGAGCAGTGGCCTCATCTTCTAGACTGGGTAAAGCATAACTTACAGGATCAACAAGTCTATGGTGCCTTATTTGTGCTGCGGATCCTCTCTAGAAAATATGAGTAAGTTTCTGTCTATTTTATTTAAATTGAAAGATTGGGTTGCTGATCTTGCCCATGCCCTCTAGTACATACTGATGGAATGAATTCAGTAACTACTTCGGAGAGCAATCAAAGAGCAATTATTGAGTCCATAGTGCAAGTGTACACATCAAGTAATAAAGTAGAATATTAGGTCCCAAGTATCGTACCCATAGGGAAAATGTGTAAATTAGATAACGAGCTCTTTGGACAGAAATTGAAATTGGTTTCATAGAAGTTCCAGGAGTAAAAATATATTCAGAAATAAAGAGCAGAACGTAATTGCGATTAAGAGACTTGTTTTTTAGATTTTCCTCTTTACATAACTGCTTAACTAGATCAAAAACACAATTTATATGGTGAAATGAAATCAAAGAAAAGCTGATTTGAATGTACAAGCTGAATACCTTGGAGTAGCAATAAGCTGTGACTCAGGTTCTCTAATGGTTGATGTAGATTCCTCTCATACCAAGCTTATTCCTCAGTGCTTAATACATAGATTCCTCTCATACATTAAGAACTTGGAATTAATATCTGAACCCAGAACCTTCGCGCAAGAATATGCCGTTCTCTATTCCTAGGGTAACTCATAAACAAAAGCTAAGAAGCGATTGTTATGACATATGATCCACTTCTGTTTTCCAAAATCAATCCTTTCCAAGTGTTGATTCTTAAGATTGTGCAAGAAATAATTCAAACAAGTAAAACTAAACCCAGAAATAGATCCACTTCTTGTTGCTATAAGATAATCAGATTAAAACAATGAAAAACAGAATTTGTACTTGTTCATTCTAACCATGGATGTTTAGCTCATGCCACAAAGCATGTCTAAACCCAAAATACAAAAACAGCAACTAAAACACAGAGACATTACTTGTCCTAATTTCAGATTCAATTCTAACAACAAAAACAGTAAAAAAATGAAAAACACTAAAAAGTTGCATAAGTGAGCTTGCGGTTATGGAGGAATTATAGTGAGGAAGATGAAGTTGAGAAGGAGGTGAATAATGGATGAATTCCTTTTTTGTCTGTTTTTCTTCCTTATATATCTCTCTTCACACGCACCACATTTGCTTGTGGTCCCCCTCTTGGTGTGTCTTTCCTTTTTTTTTTTAACTTTTTTATTCCACTTTCTATGTAATCATAAGATTCCAACTGCCCTCTCTCTCCTCCATGCTGTCATTCTTTTGTGGGAAATACTTTTTCTCCTTTTTCATTTTGTTGCTGACTTTGCTTCTCTGGAATCTTCCTTTTGGGCTTTCTTCTCCTTGCTGGGTCCTCATATCTCGTCCAATTGAGTTGAGAGCTTGGGATTGATATGTCCTATGTAAGCATGATTTGCTCTATAACTGGCCCAAATACGTACTGAATTGTTCTAGCCTGAATATTAAGAAAGAGAGTGGTAATCGAATTAAATTGGGCAATAAGTTTGCAAAAACAAGTGGCAAATCAAGAAAAAGTGTAAGAGATTAAGACACGATAGGTCTCCAAATTGGGACCTATCACATACTCTTAGTAATTTGATTTCTAAATTATTCCCACAAGTGTCATCTCTTATTTCTAAATTTTCTCACTAGCTGCTAATGTTGTCCAATGTTTTTGACATAGCTCTTTGCTTTCTGAACCACGGAAGTCCCTGTTTGTTTCTTTTTCTTTTTAATATTACAACTGTAATGTCTATGAATACGGTTGTGCTGTTTTGGTTAGGTCATTTTATTGAAGGTATACACTTGTTATATATATATTTGTCTTGTGGTTTTCAATACAAAATAAAGTACATTGGACCAATAATTAACAGTAAATATTTTTTGAGTTATAATTTCAAGTTTATTTTGAGTTGTTGAAGAAAATGAATGAAAGATTAGGAAGCAACAAAAATAAAATAAGATGTTTCCAAATGCCTGGAAAGAAAAAAATAAAATAAGACAGGAGTTGACATTGTTTCAGAAGGAAGGTCCAAACCCCATCCCATACGTTTTAATCAGTATGATTATTTTGTTATCTGCATCAGTAAGATTCAAAATGGTGGAAGGTTTCTATTTCCATATATTTTGATATCATGTTTGACAAGAGCTTATACGGTGTACTCTTATTGACTTTTGATTCTTCCCATATATGTTAGTTCCATAGACTTTCTTATTTTCTCTTTTCAGGTTCAAGTCAGATGAAGAGAGGACACCGGTTTATCGCATTGTTGAGGAGACATTTCCTCACCTTCTCAGTATATTTAACAAGCTTGTCCTGATTGTTAATCCATCACTTGAAATAGCAGACTTAATCAAGCTTATCTGTAAAATATTCTGGTCCTCCATATATGTATGCTTTCTCTCCTCATGTGTATTTCTTAAATGTAGATCATACCTTGTTCAAGATGCATGTTGCATTTATTGACAAGCCATATTTAAAAACCTGTGATTATAATTATTTACTGTGTAACATGTATTCCTTTTTTACCCAATGTGGTTATATCGCTTTATGTTTCACTGCTCTTTGGTTGATGTCCCTTTTCTCCTGATATTAAATCTCAATAAACAAAGAATAGAAAGTTATCTTGGGATGTTTATATCTTCAGTAACATGTTCTTTATAGTGTAGTTTGTGTAGCAGTGAATGTTCTCTTTCATATCAAATATAAAGAAAGGTTTATGGCATGAAAAACAAAAAAAGAAGAACTTTATCGTCTCTGTAAATCCAAATCGTAATCTTGATTAATGTGTTGTGTATTTAAATAATCTTTGCCTTGATGTTAGTTTCTTCTTTTACAATTGAGATCGCATTGTCAGTTGCTTGACTTATTTTGATTATTTCCTCCACTTAAGTTCACATAATTGACATGTGCAATTCTGGGTTTATTGTTGAGTTTATTCAGTTGGAGATTCCAAAGCTGTTGTTTGATCAAAATATCTTCAATGCTTGGATGATGCTTTTTTTAAATGTATTGGAGAGGCCTGTTCCATCTGAAGGTGTTGATCCTGAGCTTAGAAAATCATGGGGCTGGTGGAAGGTCAAGAAATGGACAGTTCACATTCTAAATAGACTCTACACTCGGTATGTTTGAGTTGTGGATTAATTTAGTTAATAAATATGAGCATTGCTGCTGCATGACTGATTGATTCTGAATTTCTTTGGTTGCTTAAATTGCCTTTTTACAGTTTTGGAGACTTGAAGCTGCAAAACCCTGAAAACAGAGCCTTTGCTCAAATGTTTCAGAAGCATTATGCAGGGAGGATTTTAGAGTGTCACTTAAATCTGTTAAATGTCATTCGTGTTGGGGGCTATTTACCTGACAGAGTTATCAACCTGATTCTTCAATATCTAAGCAACAGGTAGATGGAATCATTTGCAATGTTATTCCATGTTATGGAATCACATCGTATTTTAGCTTCCTTTCATTAACTACATGCTATAAATTCTGATTTATGTAGGGTTATACATATTTTGTTCAGCTAATTTTATGTGTTAAAAGCTCACTGGGCTAGCCATAGCAGCTAAATGATGATGCAAATAGATTTTTAGGATAGAAATATTTTTCTGATTAGTTTGGCTTTTTCCCTGGTATAAATGTCCCATTCACAGTACTTTATATGTTGATCCATCATTTTAGAAGCCATGGAAGGTACCATTAACAAATGTATATATGGTTTGATTCCATCTGATGACAAAAATACTTCATCCTATTCTCTGTCACTGTCTTCTCATAGAATATGTGGTAGTTTAGATGCTGGCTATGAGGAGTTTGGGAGAAAAATTGCATTATGCAAATTGGACGAATTCAATTATCTATTTCGGTATGCTTAGCTATGTACATATAGATGTTAAATAATGCTAACCAGTGTTTATATCAAAGTTCTGGATATTGATCTACTTGGCAAAAACGGAGATTAAGGAGGGGAGAACTCACAAATAGAATAGAAAATATTGAGGAATGTCTATTACTCTTATGCAAAGACAGGACTTAAATATATGGATATGATTTTAATGTTTTACTTTTTTATAAAAATGGATATGATTTAGATACCTCGTTTTATATGTATTTTTCATGAATGACCAGACTTGGGCCTAAGGAAAGAAGAACAACTAGTTTATTTGCTTTATGTTTCTTTCTTTTATTTGTTTATTTTTGTTTTGAACATGTAGAATGTGATGTATCTTTTATATGCTGGATGTTGTGTAAAAAACAGCAGGTTTATATATATATTACCAATGATTAAAACTAAGAGTGCAAAGGCAGAAAGAATAATTGTGACATTACATGTGTACATAATCCTTGAAAATTTGAAATTTTCTGTTTCAACCTATTTAAAACCTGGAATGAGGTGCACCAGAATCAGATGAAGCGCCAGATATATTGATTTTGACATATGATATAATCTTATGGGTTCTAGGGTAAATTGAAGGAAGAATCATCTGGATTTTTGATTGCATGAATTTTTAATGATGTTTGCTAAAGGAACTCAGATCTCTGTAGGTGTAGACGATCTGTTTAACATGAAAGAAGACTGAGAAGAAGAAAATTCCCACCTAGGATTCTGTAGGAATCACCTATAGTCTTTAATCTGTGTGTCACAATAAAGTATATAGCAGTAGCGCGTTGCTCAGTGCAATGGGAGTCTGGGCAATAAAAAGGTTGTGGTGTAGCAAGGTTGCGCATTGGAGGGGTTCAAGTAGACCTCACGAGTTATCCCCCAGGTATTGTCTGTTAAGTATTTGGGCTAAATAATTTAAGAACGGTTAAAACATAAGCCTAATAACTGTCAAGGTCTGGTCTACCAAAAGAAATTTAAATACTGTGAAATTTATTTAAATACCCAAATGCCTGGAATTAAAACCAATTGCAGTTACAACTTACTAATGCTTGTAAACCTAAATAATAGTGATCTAGAAAAGTTATGATTTATACAATCAACCCCAAAGCCGAAACTAAACCAAAATTATGAGATGATTTGATCTTTAAGCTTATGCTTGCAGCATAACCTTATTAGTTTTGATATAACTTGGAAGGGTGGGTTTTTTGTTGCAGGAGAAGGGTGGTGTTAAAGGTGCTTAATTGCTTATGTCCATTCATACGCTTATCTGTTTTTTAGGTTCCTGTTTAGCAACTAAAGGTGGAGTAGGTGCTTGACATGTAGTAGATTAGAGCATCTATGATCATGTGGTCAAGATGCTATGCTGCTATCACTAATACTAGGAAAACAAAGACCCCACGCTTGACGTCAGTACATTTCTGCTATAGATGTTACTATTGATGTATCTATTTGATTTCTAAATTTCAAATCAGACACTGGAACAAGTTTCTGTTGTCTGGAGAGTTAGGGCATATTCAAATCGAGAATATGAGTTGTTATGTTGAATGCTTTTATTTGCTACTGCTTAGTTTATTTGCTACTGCTTAGTTTCCTCATATTAATTCTTTCTCTCAACTTTTTTAACATATGCAGTATTTCAAGGAATAATATGTATACACTGCTGCAACCTCGGCTTGATGTCCTTCTTTTTGAAATAGTTTTCCCCCTTATGTGCTTTAATGATAATGATCAAAAGCTTTGGGATGAAGATCCACATGAATATGTAAGGAAAGGCTATGGTAAGTTTTATTGGTGTGTAAACAAGGAAACAGTATTTCACCGAATTGAATTGGGATTGCTTATGGCTTCTCATTCTTTATTACAGACATTATTGAAGATTTGTATAGTCCTAGGACTGCTTCCATGGATTTTGTGAGTGAGTTGGTTCGAAAACGTGGGAAAGAAAATCTTCAAAAGTTTATTCAATTTGTAGTTGAAGTTTTCAGAAGGTAATATTTTGCTTATTGTTAGAATGAAGGAATTTATAGTTGGGTGCAATATTCAGGTTTTTGCTGTGCTAGGTATGATGAAGCTTCTGTAGAACACAAGCCCTATAGACAGAAAGATGGTGCTCTTCTTGCTATTGGGGCACTTTGTGACAAACTGAAGCAGACTGAACCATACAAATCTGAACTTGAGCGAATGTTAGTGCAACATGTCTTTCCTGAGTTCAGCAGTCCTGTTGGCCATCTTAGAGCTAAGGTATGTTCTCCTATTCTAGTTTTTATGTCCATTGATCCCCATGTTTGCTAGATTCACTTTCTTCCCTTTTCTCCTTCCTTTGGGAGTATTAAGGATGTTTTTAATATGCCAAAATCTGCAAAATACCATACTAAAATCACATCCTAATATTAATTTGCATATCTGACCAAATGTTCTGGATGTAAAAAATCTTCAAAAATTGGGAGAGATTAGTTTCTAATAACCTGGAGTGAACTCCAACTATTAAGGCTCCAATTTTCTGTTGCTCTCCAGTCTCCATGCACTTTCAAATTCTTGGTTGATTCTTAGATTGAAGCAGAGATATTGACACTATCTGATCGATTTATGTATATTCTCTGTAAAACTTTTAGTTACATGCAGTCATGCACCATTTCAAATTTATTTGTATTCTCAGTTATCTTTATGTAAAAATTAAACAATCCTGTTTAATTGAAGGCAAGATGCTTTATTAGAGTATATGTATACCTTTACATTGTGCTGTATTTCTATATCAGTATGTGTAATGTTGATATGTGTGTGTATCCCCTGCAACTGGACAGCTCAGGGTCTGTATCTGATGTACTAGTTTTTAGACTAGCCTTGTCTACTCCAGCTGTTAAGCTGCTGAGTTGTTACAGGTTTGTTAAGAGTCTGTTTGCTTTGGTTTTACTGAGCTGGCTTGCCTTTGCTTCAGTTGCAACAGTAACTAGACTCTTGGCTTGCTTTCCTAGTTTCCTACTCCTCTATATAGGACTCACTGTATTCATAATCCTTCAAGTCAATAATACAAGAGAATTCTCAGAAGCTCTCTCTCTATATCTTCTCACATTTTCTCCCTTTTTCGCTTAGTTTCCTTTAAGCTTCTTCAAGAGCACAATGAAATTCTTTTCACGGCATATTTGGTGTAATGTATCCTCCTCTTGAATATTGATATCATTTGAAAGAAAGGAATGGAAGAGGGGAAGTTTTTAGCTCAAGATTGAAAAAGGCGAATGAGTGTGATTGCCTCTTCATTTTTGTAGTTTGGGTAATACTTTTCTTATGTTACATAAGAAAAATATTGTCTCCTACCCAAACAATAGATAGGAGAGAGAAAAGAGTCTGGAGGTGAGAATTTTTTTTTTTGTAGGACCCATTTGAAAAATGTGAGTGTAGGAGATAGTACTTTTCTTATGCAACATAAGAAAAATATTACCCTTGTAGTTTAGTATAAAATGAAAGAAATGATTTGTTTTGGTACATTGGTGGCATGGTAATTTAAATCTACAATCTCATGTTAGCTACCCAAACCCCCACTTCTAGCCCAAAAAAGAAAAAAAATCTGTGTTATTCATAGTTCTTAGAATTGCACGATTCGTGATTTCTAATTTGCTTATATTCTCATATGTCTTTACTTTGTTAGAAGTTAAACAATCCTGTTTAATTGAACTAAGAAGCTTCTTCAAGAGCACAATAAAATCCTTTTCTTGGCATGGTTGGTTAATGCTTCTTCCTCTTATATTCACAATTGTACATTGGTGACATGAAATTTAAACCTACAATCTCATGAAAGATACCCAAACCCCTCCTTGCCAGTCCATAAAATAAAAGATTTGTGTGTTATTCATAGTTATGAGAATTACATGACTCATAATTTGAATCACACAATTCGACAAGCCATCGATTTTTATCATGTCATGAATTAGAGATGACTTTGAGTTATACGATACATGCATGAACCGATTCCATATTAGCATATGAATCCATGATTTAGTGATTCATTAATTATTTTTTTTGCTTTTCTTTCATCAATTCTCATAAAAGAAATTGAAAAAGAATAAGTTTATATAGTTAAATGAAAAGGAACTAATGAAATGCTACTGAGTGCTCCCTATTTGAGAATTTCGTTGCCCTGTTTTCATTATTTTGAAACAAGGGTTTCATACACACTACTATGCATCATATTTAGTTTTTCCATTGCTCTGTTTTCATTCTTCTCAAATGGAGGCTTTACATAGTTACTCACTCGCTCACTCTGTATGCATTTTTATTTGGCTGTAGCATTTTTTTTTTTGGGTTTCGTCAGGCTTATTTTTAATTTGTTTTGTCAATTCTTAGTTTAAAATTATTACATGGAGCATTCAACATAATTTATATGATATATTTCAAGCTATTTTTAATTGTGCATCTGAATCTTATGATTCAATACAATTTACATTCACTATTCAAAAATTAGTATGGCCATTCACAATTTGAATTGCAATTTGATAACCTTGGTGTTATTTAATTTTATAATTTAGAGCTCTAGTATTTGAGCCAAATATGATGCAAATATGAAATGTATTGGCTGCAATGTAAGTTGATCCCAAAATGTTGATCTATCCTCTTCTGACTTAACTTGCAATCCTTCAAAGTTTGTGGTAGCCTCATTGAAATAGAACCTATCCTAATCCCTTCCTTTCCCTATTGGAAAAATGAGTGATTCAAAGGAATCGAAATTTCCTTTCTATACCATTCACTTCACTCTAACTAAACAAAGCATTATTTTCCAATTGAATATTTTGATTTGATTTCAGGTAAGCTAATTTGAATTTTAGTTGTAGATAATGGAAATGTCATTTCTTTATTCTTAAGAATTTAGCCATACTTTTATTTTCCTGTAAAAAACAGGCAGCATGGGTTGCAGGACAATATGCCCATATCAACTTCTCAGATCAAAACAATTTCCGGAAGGCATTGCAGTGTGTTGTATCCAGAATGCAAGATCCTGAACTTCCTGTGCGGGTTGATTCTGTTTTTGCTTTGCGATCTTTCATTGAAGCTTGCAAAGGTGTTTTTTACTTTTTGTTTATAATTTTGTAATTGTATTTAAGTAATTTTATCTGATTAATATTGTTTATGCTTATTTTTTTCATTCCTTGTTGATGCAGATTTGAATGAAATCCGTCCTATTCTTCCTCAACTCCTTGATGGTATGTGGGCGTGAAAATTTTATCTTCACTTCAGAATTATTATTTGACTTGGTGAATAAGTTTATCTTTATGGAATTTTATCCAGAGTTTTTCAAACTTATGAATGAGGTTGAGAATGAGGACCTTGTATTTACTTTGGAGACGATTGTGGACAAGTTTGGGGAAGAGATGGCACCTTATGCAATTGGGCTGTGCCAAAATTTGGTAATATTTTTTTTCCCATCTGTATCTATCAAGAAACTTGTGCCTGGTCGAGAGCTAGTCTTTTTCTGTAAATTAACATTTGTTCAACTTTTTTTGACAACAGGCAGCTGCATTTTGGAGGTGTATGAACACTGCAGAAGCTGATGATGAAGCTGATGATCCGGGTGCTCTGGCTGCAGTTGGTTGTTTACGTGCTATTAGCACAATCCTTGAATCAGTGAGCAGGCTTCCTCACCTTTTTGTTCAAATTGAGCCAACTTTGCTTCCCATAATGCGTAGAATGTTAACAACCGATGGTCAAGGTACTTCTGCCCTCCCTCTTCTTCTTTTTCTTTTATTCTCTTTTGATATGAAGGATCCCTATCATCCAATTTCCTTGTAATTTTCTTCATCCTAATGAAAACTTTCTTTAAAAAAAAAAGTAATTTCCCCTTTGAATCATGTTTACCTGTTTCATGTTTGTACCCCTTCTATTTTCGATGTTATTTTGTGTTTGCGTCTGTTGCGTGCATACATTATGCATCTATTTTTTTTTTTTTTTTGGTTTTTTGCATCTGTTTGCGTCAGTTTATTGGCAAAAAAATTGTAGCAGGGATCCTCCTTAACAGTAAAAGGAAAACACAAACAACCAAGAAAAAAGGAAACATGAATGGAACAAGGCTACTGTATCTCTTAGCATGTCAGTTGGAGGAAACCCCTTAAAATGACTGTGTGCTTTCTACCAAATAGAAGCCAAATGACTAATCTTAATCTCAAATCAACTGCTGTTCGTACCAAAGAAACCTTCTTAAAAATGTAAGAGTTGCACTCTAACCAAATGTACCACAGCATTGTGTAGATTGCACATTGCCGCAAAAATGATTTGCCTCTTTAATTCTATCAGCCTATCAAAGCAAATAGAAAATTGGTCTAACGATTGGGAACACACCCAGCATATACGGGAAGCAAACTAGAGTGGAAGAATATATGAAGAGACCAAAAGAAGAGTGAAAAAATGAGTATCCCCTGTTGAATGTAGTCTAAAGAACGAAAATAGCTACACCTTGTTCTTTTTCGGCCATTCTGGTCTATGAAGTCTAATTATACTGGCTGTTATGCCAAATTTGTGAGATTATATTTTTTGCTTTGGCAATTGGGCGTGGTTTTTCTTTCTCTTCCTTTTCCAGTGATGTTTCCCTTTCACGTTAGGATGGTTGCATGTCATTCTTGATTGTAAGAAGAATTGTGGTCAGTTGTTTTCCTTTTAGCTTTAATATGTCTGTAGTATGCTTTGATTTGTGTCAAAAAATGTACGCTGAAAACAGGTTAAGCTTGTCTAATTTGTACCTTTAACTGCTTGGGTTTTTTGATGTGGGGTGTGTTAGTATTTGTGTTATTAGATGTGGTATGAAGACTATGGTTTGTTTTAATTTCAATTGGGTTTTCTGGCTTATTTCCATTATCTTCTATGCATGCTTACAGAGGTTTTTGAAGAAGTTTTGGAGATTGTATCATATATGACTTTTTTCTCTCCAACAATATCATTGGATATGTGGAGTCTTTGGCCGTTGATGATGGAAGCACTGGCAGATTGGGCAATTGATTTCTTTCCAAGTATGGTGCTTAACTACATTTTGACTATTTTTTTGCTCGTGTCGAAGTACCTAGTTTAGATAATTTGTGGATTTTTTTTTATTGATATTAAAGCTAGATATAAGTTTGTGTCCCAGACTTAACCTGAAGATAAGCACAATTATGATCAGCTTAGAAACATCACTTAATAAAGAAACGAGCCATAGAAAGAATGTGGGCAATTTCTGGTCGAATAATGAGATAAGCTATCTCTCCTAGCTTCCAATCAGTACATTAAACTATGAGCATTTACCAAGCCCGTTCACTTCTACAATTTTGTATTTTTCTTTCCTTTTTAATATTTCCTTTTTTCAAGCTATAAATGCATATTCTGTCATCCTTTTGTTTACTTGGGGGCTTTTTTAAGTGGTAATTCTCAGGCTACTTGCTTTTAGGATCCCATTATTGACAAGATCCCAAAATACTGGGGCTATTGGATGAGTACCTTCCACTCTTTGGGTTGTTGTATTACTCTTTTCAGTCTTATTTGTCGAGTGTATCCCAATATTTTCTCCCTTTTCTTTAAACCCTGGTAGTAATGGCTCACAGAATAGAGAAAATAAATAATTAATGATGTCTTTGGTCTGTTTTGAGATTTTTCTTCCTCTATATAATTTCATTGTGGTACATATTTATTTGTTAAGTTTTAAACTTCTGCAGATATTTTGGTTCCTCTGGACAACTATATTTCAAGAGGAACTGCTCATTTCCTTACTTGCAAAGAACCTGATTATCAACAGAGTCTATGGAATATGATTTCATCTGTGAGTTACTTTTACAGTATTACTTGAGCCGCTACCTGTGTGTTTGAGGCTTGATGATTGATAATGATTGTTATTATTTTTTCCGTGTTATTACTGATGTCTCTGTTATTTGTATATCATGTTGCAGATTATGACGGATAAAAGTATTGAGGACAATGATGTTGTGCCAGCTCCAAAGCTTATCGAAGTTGTCTTCCAGAATTGCCGAGGACAGGTGGATCACTGGGTTGAACCATATCTCAGAATTACGGTTGAGCGCTTGCATCGAACTGAAAAATCATATTTGAAATGCCTTCTTATGCAAGTGGTAAGGGGTTGTTACAATCAAACCTACATGAATGAATGAAATTGTCAGGAAATTGGCTTTTATTGCTTCCTTCTTTATAACGGTTTAACATGATCAATAACTGGATTTGCTGGGGTCCATTTTCAATACCGTTTATTTAAAACACTTGTGTTCTGGAACTTCGATAAATCAAAGCTTCACACAGAATAATTCCAGTTTGGGGTTGCATGATATATTTTGAGCTTCCAATTTTTGATGGATTATAAAAGTTAGATGTGTATAATTTTGTATGTAGTTTTCTGTGCAAACACTTAATCCTTATAATTCATAAATCAACATGGATGACATTTCCTTGGGTGCTATAATATCTAGTTGATTTAGAAAAGAAGAAAGTAAATGTAAAGATTTTTTTTTAACAGATTTGAGACCTTTTCTGATTGACCCCAATGAGTTTAGTTTATATATCGTTTGTCAAGTTCCCAAAGATTATTTGTCAGACAGGAAAAGACATCATAAAGTAATTCCATCTAAGAGGAGATAGTTTTTTCAGATTGCAGATGCTCTTTACTACAATGCAGCACTGACTCTCAGCATATTACAAAAGTTAGGCATGGCGTCAGAAATCTTCCATCTTTGGTTTCATTTGCTGCAACAAGTCAGGAAGAGTGGTGCGCGTGCTAATTTTAAAAGGTCTGTTCTTTTCTCCCCTCTTTCATTGTCCCCCTATTCTGCTTTACTTCGTATCTCCATACTTTGCTTCCATACAACAATAGAAGTCATTGTGCATGGCAATTTGAAGGTCTTATTATAGTAAACTAACAATCTGTATGCAGGGAACATGATAAGAAAGTGTGCTGCCTTGGTTTAACATCGTTACTGGCACTCCCTGCTGATCAATTGCCAGGGGAGGCTTTAGGCCGGGTATTCCGCGCCACCCTTGACCTTCTAGTTTCCTACAAGGATCAAGTTGCAGGTCTGTATTTCTGCCTTGTCTCTAACTTTGAGATGTGACAATCATATATTCATGAAGAGTAGATTGACTTCCCTTATATCTTTCTTGCTCAGTCATGCCAAAATTAGTTTTGTTTTGTGAGTGCCTAACTTTTCACTCTATTTTACTCACTGTGAAGAAGCTGCGAAAGAGGAAGAAGCTGAAGATGATGATGATATGGATGGTTTTCCAACTGATGACGAAGATGAGGATGGCAATGGTTTTGACAAGGAAATGGGAGTTGATGCTGATGATGGAGATGAAGTTGATGCTATCTCACTTAGAAAGTTGGCTGAACAGGTGTGAATATGAAGACCTAAAAAACATTTGCATGCATATATACGTTGAATCTAGTCTGGGATAGTTATTTTTTCAAGTCTTCATGCGCTGAAGGAATTTTATAGTATGTGTGAATGGGCTGAAATTGGAAATTTTAGTTGCTGATAATTTGATGAGGTCATCATCTTCGTCGTGATTTTTATTTTTTATTTTTTTTGATACTGAAAGACCTGATTTCCGACTAATTTAATTGTATCAGTATTAGCTATTATGTCTGATTCAAGGTTCTGAAAACTGCACCGGTCATTGAATTAGAAAGGTGTCCATGGTTAATTGGCCTAATTATAATTTTTTTTTTTATGAATCTCAGTTTTAAATAACATTGTAAGTGTAGAGAACATATGAAAATCTTAAGGTTTAACATTTATTTTTTAATATTGAATCTTAAATTTTTTTTTTTATTGTTGTTGTTTTGTGTAAATATTTTATTGATTAATGTTAAGATAGTTACATCTCAGGAATTTAGTATACTATTAAATTAAATAACGTGTTACTGTGGTCATCAATGCGCATGGTCTCTTGCTACAGCTACTGCCAATGCATCGTGGGGGCGTTGGGTTTGTTTTGATCTCCGATGCCACCACTTTTGCTTAAAATGATGTCCACTTAGTAAAAGTGAGGGTCCATTTCGTCACTGGGTTCACTGACTAGTTCAGTGAAAGAAATGGACCATTTTCAGCAGTAACCAGCTAATTCTTTGACTTGTTGCTGGTTTGATTTGGGCTTAAGCAGTCAGTATGCCATCCAGTTTATTGGTTTTTCAGTTGGCTTGTCCAGTCTAGTTTTCAGAAATATGGTCCCATTGTTTCAAATTTATTTTTTGAAGGTCAAAAGTTTTTTCCCTTCTCCTTCCAAACAAAATGTGTAAATTTCGTCTTATAATTATTCGTTATTTTTATTATTATTTTGACTTCATCTATGATTGATTTTTGAATCTTAGAATTTTATTTTCATTCTGCATCTGTTGCTGACAGGCAAGGTCATTCCGACCCAATGACGAGTATGATGACGATTCGGATGATGACTATAGTGATGACGAAGAGTTGCAGTCCCCAATTGACGAGGTGGATCCTTTTGTTTTCTTTGTGGATACAGTCAAAGGTAAGCTAAAAAATGTTGAGGTTCTTCATGCCATGATCATTATTGTTTTTGTTGTTGTTGTTGATGATGTCTGACATGCCAACCTTTCAAAATGAATTTGCCTGTAGTGATACAATTATCAGATCGATTGAGGTTTGAGAACCTCACCCAGACACTCGAGCTCAATTATCAAGCTCTTGCTAATAGTATTGCCCAGCATGCTGAGCAGAGAAGAGCAGAAATTGAAAAGGAAAAACTTGAGAAGTCATCAGCTGCCACAGCTTCTTAAGCTTCTGGAGACACATACATTTTTCTCAAGTTCTCAGCTGTTACCCATTCTTTAGTAGAATCAGAGGGTTGCCTATTTATTTGAGGCATTTGTTGGCTCTGTGGTCACTAGTTGGTCTTCGAGCCTCGAAGAGTTTGCAGTTTTGAAGTGCTCGGAGCTTTGTGCACTGAAAGTTCCCTTTGACTGGAGAGGATATTGCATTCAGGGAACTGTGAAGTTAGCGCGTTCTCCAGGTCGCATTAGTTCAGCTTATTGTTTGGTGCTTTGGGCTATCCTTTGAAGGAAAGTGCCCATTCTTGCCATTACTCTGTTGTCCCCCACCATTCCCCCTTTTTTTCCCTTTTTGTGGGACGCTTTTATAATCTTCACATACCAACCCTATTCTGTTTCGTGGATACGGGTTCTGTAGTATTTCATTTCTTGCCCGTCACGTAGACGGGTATGTAGGGTCGCCAATTGCTTTATTGGTAGTTTTTGGTGGTGGATGGTATATATTTTTTATAAACCCTTTTTTGGTCATATTTTTTGGGTTGAGAGTATAGGTACATTAGTATTGATGAAGGCATCAATTTTGGGTTATACAAAGCTTTTTAAGGGTGGCTTCCTGCAGGTTGTAAAACATTTCATTCTTTATACAATATTTTGTGGGAAGAATTCAGCACGATTCATGTTTAGTAGGGTATATCGTTTTGTACTAATTTTGTAGTGTTTCAGAAACTTCAAGTTACGCAGCAATATGGAACCCCTGCCCTCTCGATCACTCAAATAAAAGGGGGGGAAATTCTGATTGTTTTCATAATGTGTGTATTTATTGGTAAGTTTTTCAAATAGCTTAAGTTGATATTGGGTAATAATATTTGAACAAACTGGTGCAGCCCTGGTATTTTGCATGGTCTTAAACCAATAAGTTGGGAAGGGAGCTCCCTAAAACTGTAAAAAAAAAAAAAAAAAAAAAAACACAAAGGAGCTCCTTAAAACTGAAAAGAAAAGAGAAGGAACAATACTTAATGTCATGGGGAACAATTTAAATGGGATAAGTATAGAATTCAAAATACAAATTTCTTAATAATATAAAGGCATTCGATGTTACGACTCTACGAGTCAAATTTCAACTAAGCCTGTTTGAAACTTTTTGGAAAAGTAAGACCCAACGTTCAATTTCCTGGTGTTTGTCAATGCATCAAAATGCATTATTTGAACACTTTACCTTATAACCATTTAATTAGAGGTTATGTTTGACACAACCTATATGAAAGATTTGATACTATGAGTAAATATGTTTTGTGCAGTGTGCACTAACAGTAATTATTTGAACACTCATTTTTACTTCGTTATAACTTTGTACCTATATTCTCTTTTCCATTCTAGATATAATGTGACAAGAAATCGTGTGATTAAAAAATTGCCTTTCTTTAATCTAAAAAACAATTTATTTTTACCTGTACTACCACTAAAACAATTACCATGGTGACTATTATCAATGTCATTGCTAATCATTTTTATTGCCGCTACCATCATTGTCATTATTAATATTATGTTTGTATCATCTCTTATGTTACATAAACTCATATGAAATGATCTCAATTGTTTATAGTTAAATTAACAGTACCATTTTGTCATTTTTTACCTCAAAACTTTATCTTACAGTGCTATTTGTTTATGGATGGTTAAGATCATCTCATATGAGATCACATGACATGAAAGAATTCTTTCCTATTATTATCATTGTCGTTAATGATATTATAATCATTATATCTGTCACTAGTATTATCATCACTGTTATTTTGAGATGAATACTTGATTAGTTTTTAATAAAACTTTTTTTTTTCCTTTTCAAATAAGCTCTTTTCATGTTAGTATGTTATATTTTACTTACAAGTTACAACAAACACCGAATAAGATGACCTTATATTATTATGCTATTTATACAATTAAATACAAAACACTTGATAATATTTATATAGGTGTTTATTTGCTCCTTTATATTATGATATTATATTATATTTCTGAGTCTTATATTATTGAGAGTATAAAAATAGGTATAATTCTTTTATTCTCATGCTTAAAATTATATAAAATAAAATATTAACAAATTAAATGAGATTATTTAAGTGATTTTATTGGGCTGGTTATCTTGTGCTAAGCTTGTAATTTTAAGAAAAACAATAAAGTATCTTAATAACTAATAAAGTTTATTAATTAGTAATGTCACTCTAACGCCCCCTTGGAACTTATATAATTAAGTTTCGACTGTTGGCAAATTGAACAAGGTTATTAAAATAATTTTATTGCATTGATTGTTTTTTATGCTAAGCTTTTAATTTTAAGAGAAAGTAAACTATCTTAATTAACTACTAATATATTTTCTTAATAAGTAATGTTACTATATAATTTGGTAGGGAACTTATACAATAACTTCTTAATTTTAGATCATTTTTTCATTAATTAATATATTGCTCCGTAAGTGTATAAGTGTATAATTACACATCTCTTTATTAATTTGGTAAATCTAAAATTAACATTGAAAAATTAACCCGCCCCCAATCGTATTCTTGATTCTCCTACGTGTGGGTCCCAAATTCTAAATTAGAACACAACCGCAGAAATTTCAAGCTACAAACAACTCTTAGCACAAACAAAGACTCACCCCAGTCTTCAAAACACGCAGAAAATTCGTTGCATAGAGAGAGAGAGAGAGAGAGAGAGAGAGAGAGAGAGAGAGAGAGAGAGAGAGAGAGAGAGAGGATTGTGGTGACTGGTGATCATGGTTTGCAGAAGAAGATTCTCAGTGTGTTTGCTGTTAATGTTGTTGTCGCTGATTTCGAGTGTTGGCGCCAACCACGGCGTTTTCAGCGTCAAATACAAATACGCCGGCCAGGACCGCTCTCTCTCTGCCCTCAAGGCCCATGACTACCGCCGCCAGCTCTCTCTTCTCGCCGGCGTCGACCTACCCTTGGGCGGCAGCGGTCGCCCCGACGCCGTCGGGTGAGTATTTCAAAATTAGGATTGTTTTCCTTTGAGTTTTGATTTCTTGATTGATTGTTGATTATGCTTTTTTTTATTTTATTTGTAGACTTTATTATGCTAAAATTGAGATTGGAACGCCTCCAAAGGATTATTATTTACAGGTTGATACTGGGAGTGATATTATGTGGGTTAATTGCATTCAGTGCAGAGAATGTCCCACCAGAAGCAACCTTGGTGTATGTCTCTTTTCCATCTTCCATATGGAGTTTTTTAAGCTATGTTTGATGAGTTGTTAAACTTTTATTGATTGATGATATAATTAGGATACTTCTTTGACTCATTCTTAGGCACACTTGATGTAAGAGGATCCTCTTACGTTACAGTGTAATATCTTCTGCTATCCCTCCTCTAACAATAATCAATATCTAAAAAATTAAAATTTTTAGCTGAAGTGAATGATAATGGTAGCCCACATAGTTCATGTAGCACGTGCACACTCACACACATAGTGATATAGTGTAAGAAGGTTGTTTTACACCAAGTGTAACTAAGTATCTCTCATACTTCTAGAGATTTATAATTGTTTAAAGTACCATTCTAGTAATCAATAAATATTTAACAATCCATCAAGGTAACAGTACCCAGGAAAAAAAATGGGGGACTGTTGTAATTCCCCCTTCATTATTATTATTATTGTTTTTATTATTTAACTTTGAAAAGGAGCTTGGCACAACTGTTGTTGTTGTTTTGTTTCCATGTGACCTGGAGTTCATAGATTCAATTCATGTATTCAGCCTTTTGCAAATGTAAGGTCAGGTTGTCTACTATAGCTGACTCTCCACATAGTCGGAGCTTTATAGCACTCGGTTGTGCATTTTTTATTATTTAACTTTCTAATAAGTTAAATCTAGAACATTGTTATCCACATGATTGCGTAGAGGAATTTTTAGTTAGGCATAGTCTACCGCGTAATCTCTTAGACACCCAAATTATTATTTGACACATGGAAAAACGTTTTTAATCATAGATGTATTTCTATCATGGTCCTAACAACTTTGCACATGTCAAATAATGATTTAAGTGCCTATGGTAGACCGTGCCTAACCAAGAATTTCTCGTATGGTTGAATCATGTATAGCCTCTAGTCAACACTAATGTTCTTATTCATTCGAATTTCTTTTCTTTGGGTATCAAAGATGGACCTTACACTTTACGACATAAAGGAATCCTCCTCTGGTATTTTAGTTCCATGTGATCAAGAATTTTGCAAAGAGATAAATGGGGGTCTTCTGACTGGATGCACTGCCAATATTTCATGTCCATATCTGGAGATATATGGTGATGGGAGCTCCACTGCAGGTTACTTTGTGAAGGATGTTGTACAATATGATCAAGTGTCTGGGGACCTTAAAACTGCTTCGGCTAATGGAAGTGTTATATTTGGGTGAGTTTTCTTATGGCATTAATGCATGGTACTATGTATTTATGGATTCCTATTACATTTGATCTATTGTCGTTAGTGGACATTAATTTCACATGAACACAGAAACATTTACTGACATGAATCTTCACACACATGTTTGTTTATAGTAATGTAATACGTTGCTTTAGTTGCAATAACATAATTTCTCATATTTGGATATTATCTTAAAATAAAAGTGGGTGTACTTGAGTATTGATGAGTGCAGGTATAGCTTTTCAAAATTGTTGAGTAGACTTTTTGTTTCATTAAGAAGCATAGAAGGTTATCACCGAAATCAATATTGGTGCCTGAGGAAAGACATAACTTCGATTAGAGGTTTGGGTCAGCTGCCAGTTGGAGTAAGATTGAGAGTGAGATTGCTGACAATGATATTGATGTAGGCCTGTACTTCTCTCGGTCCAACGTTTGTTGTGTTCCAAGCTGAAATTTACTGAAGTTTTGATGAGAAAAGTGGTAAAATGTGAACCTTACTCATGATGAAAATAAATTTAAGTGAAAAAATGCTGAATAATTTAGCACACCGGCAGTCACAGATTGTATCAGCAACAAATATTTCCTGGACAGTAATTTCCTTTGTTTTAGCCTTATTAGATATATTAAATGCTCTTTTCTTCCTTTAATACAATTTTGGTTAAAATCCTTCATTGCTAAATTCTTCACTTTTATCCAACATGCCTTAAGTAATATGGTCTAATGAATATTGAGGCAGTGAATTAAACACCTTAATGTATGGCACACTCCAAGAAATACCTTTCCTAATTCTAAAACTGCTTTATGTGATTCTGGAGGCACTTATGTTATAATGTTTTCCTCGTGATTCTTATTGTGTATGATAATTTAACTTTGTGTATTGAAATATATCCTTTGGTTCTTATTTGTCCCGCCTTTTATATTTAAAATGTAAGTTTTGTTGTTTTGCAGGTGTGGTGCTAGACAGTCTGGAGATCTAAGTTCTTCAAACGAAGAAGCACTTGATGGAATACTTGGATTCGGAAAGGCTAATTCTTCATTGATTTCACAACTTGCTTCTTCTGGAAAAGTGAAAAAGATGTTTGCTCATTGCTTAAATGGAGTAAATGGAGGTGGTATATTTGCTATTGGGCATGTTGTGCAACCTAAAGTGAACTTGACTCCATTATTACCAGACCAGTATGCCATTTGTTCAATACACTTCAAAATGATATTAGTTTTTCTTATAGTGTTATTAATTATTCTTTTAGGGATAAATTATTTTTAGATTTCTAATCATGTTTTTGTTGGAGTGTTCACATTATATGTTGTGCAAATATTATAATTCTATGCCAGAATATAACATGTTGCTTCTATTATTGACTGTCGCACATGAACAGTTTCTAATTCACATTTGGGCTTGTGGACTATTATCATTAATGGCTTACAGATCAACTTAGATTATTATGTCAACTCTTAGAGAAAGTCAACCCCAAATTATGCCTTGTGAAATTAATTCATTTGTCCAGAAAAGGGGGGAAAAAGATCTCTAAATGCTTGGCGTTGGTCTGCAATATTATAATTAAAATAAGTTCAAGGCTTAAAGAAAGAAGATTATTAAGAAAACTTGTTTCATCTGTTTGTAGTGGCTGCAGTAATCTTTTTCTATAATTTATTCAGATCCTCCTCATGATCTCTTCTACCAGAGAACCTATATGGGGCTACATTGTAATGTGTTTAAATCACTAAATCTTGCATTTTCTGTTTCCTTAACACTTTTAAATGCAGCTATTCTTGATTATTTGGTGGTCCTTTTTGTTAGTCTTGTTTGATTTCAGTTGTCTTTTCATGTGAGCAACATATGTATCTCTAACCTAGCTTGTCCTTCATTTTCCGGATCCCATGTTTCACATATTGATTACTGACTTTTGCTAGAGTCATTAGTTGCATGTGATGTCTCAACATCTACGCTCTAAATGGAATGCATCCTTTAACAGGTTAATGAGGTCATTGTCCCAGCAGCATTAATATTTTTGTTTATAAGAAATTTCAAGCTAAAAGCACCATGAATAAAACTATAATTGGAGATTTCTATTGTGGAATGTAAATTTGAAGCAGGCAGTAGGATTTTCTGGTGTAAAATCAAGTTTAATTTCATTGTTTCAGGGATCTTTAATCTTTGAGTTTTTCATCCATAAGAATCAACACTTTACCCTTTTCCCCTTTTTTCTAAATGAAAAACAAGATATCTCTGTCTAATGTTCATGTCCATGCTTCTCATTTGCTGGATGTTGCCCAATTTCTTTATGCGCAGATAATTTTGTTTACTTTGATACCTAGAGTGTCTCTTCTATTCAGATATTAGTTTACAGAAGTCCATTTTTGAAATAAATGACATTTAAAATGTGTTTTAGGCCACATTACAATGTCAATATGACGGCGGTTCAAGTTGGCCATACTTTCCTTAGTCTATCAACAGATGCATCTGAGCAAGGGGACAAAAAAGGGACAATTATTGACATTGGTACAACCTTGGCATATCTACCTGAAGGGATTTATGAGCCACTAGTATATAAGGTATATAAGAGTCTGACTTTTTGTAAATCTACATTACAATTGCTTTTACAGTTGTTTGAATTACTTTCTCTTGTTAGATAATTTCTCAGCAACCCGACTTAAAAGTTCAGACTCTCCATGATGAGTATACGTGCTTTCAATATACTGGGAGGTATGATGCATAACATGCATTCACCAATCCTTGTGCTTTGTTGATGCTATAGCCGGGGGTTTATTATAATCTTTTGTTGCTTGAATACACATCTGAAAAGAAATATGTATGCATGCATATTGTATGTATATAGTGTTTCGCTGTGGGTTGGAACAAGTGCAGGTGTTTTGGCAGTTTACTTTGGTTTACAGGCTTTGGAAGAATTCTTCTTTTATGATTAGGTTTGGAAGGGCCTAAAGTGTGTGGGTGTTGTTTTGATGATGGTGGTTCAGGGTTGGCAATGTTGTAAATAGCACTGCCATAGCGTCATGGCTTGGTGTTTTTGTAGGTTACTTCCCTTAACCTTCTTTCGCTTGACAGTTGAACATGGCACGGTTGCACTGCCATAGCTGTGGTGTCTATGGCGTATGGCATGCCCTGCATTGAAAATGGCAGGGGAGGTGAGCTTTTGTCTCCTCTGTGCTAGGTACAATTGACCTTCAGCAATGTGTGGTAAAATAAACCAAAAAGACTGGAAGAAAATACATTAGAAGTGGTTTTGACTTTTGACCAACTGTTCTGCTGCTTCAATGGAATTAGTGTTTTTGTGTCCTTTGAAAATTGTCAGGCTAGAAACCTTCTTAAACCAGACTGAGATCACCATTAAATTAATCAGACCAGTTCCATTAGTATCATCTCTGTTCTTCAATCATCCCTGTCATTATTTTATTATTATCTCTTTAAATTGCTGCCAGCCACACTTCAATATGGAAATTGCAACACCATTCTGGCATTATTTGAGCTTGCTGCCAATAACCATTGGCAACTCCCGTGGTTGGTGTTTGAGGTTATATTCTAGGATCTTCAATTATCTTTTTCATGGCATAGCAAGTTTTCCCTGATAGGACTATTCACTCTCTCCCTTTGTAGTTCCACTTTGGAAAATCTTACTGTTACCTTACATAGAACTTTGGTCTCATCCTCTTGATTGTATATTTCTCTCTTTTCATTGTAAGACATATTCATGAATGTTTGGTCTGAAATTTCTTGTTATTTCCTTATATTTCTGTAGCTTGTTTTACTGTATTGGTTCAAAAATTGTTTTATGATTTCTATTTGAACATGTTAATGTGCTCACTTTCATCTGCAGCTACTGTTTGCGACTTATGCTGTTATTATGCTTTTAAAAACACTGATATAAATATAAAAAATAAAGTAACACTGATATATAATTGTGTTAAAAAAGCATTTGCCTCAAGCATGGAGCTATCAGCTATGATTGTAAGAAAAATACATTGTGTTATTCTCTTTTGTAATTGAGTAAACTATATTATAGTCAGATAAGTAACCAAGAACTTGTGTCACATGGTTCTTAACTTCTTATAAATAATGTATTTACTGCTAATGGTTTCTTGATGATGTGACTGATGCCTTTCATGATGTTTCTGAAGTTACAATATTTTGTTGGTTTAGTTTTCCGAACTTCTTATTTATGTATTGTTGGAGTGCTTCAATAACTGGACTGCTTCCTTTGTATATCCTATGCCTTTACGTCAGTATCAGCTCCATTTAGGTGTGTGATGGCTGTTTGATTTTATGTTGCAGTGTTGATGATGGATTTCCAGCTGTCACCTTTTATTTTGAAAATGGACTCTCCTTGAAGGTTTATCCGCATGATTATTTATTTCCATCTGTAAGTACATGGCAAATCTTATTAGATCTTTGTTTTTATGGTTATCAGAGGTTTATTGGGCGTGTTTTGGGACCTATTAGCCTTTTCTGTCATTATATATTGCTCATGCGTCATGGTTGGTATCCTTTTCTTAAGTGTTTTATAAGCTTTCTGTTTGAGGTACACTACAACTACTAATTCTGATTTCGGTTTTATAATGGCCATTTATAATATATGGTGAGACATAGAATGACATGTACTGTCATTGAAATTCATCACTTTTTAAAAACTGCACTTGCTAATAATGACTACTTGCTGTTTTTTTTTTTGGATTGCTCCACTGGTTTTCGGGGCTTCGCCCCGACTATGTCCAGTCCGACCCAGGTAGGTTACCTAGCATTGGCAGGTGAGTCTCCCAGCGGAGATTTTCTGCATACACAAGGTCTCGAACTCGAGTCCTTGCTACTACTACTACTTGCTGTTTTAACACACTAATTCTTTGGGTTCTCTAATGTTTGTCCAATATGGCATCTTTTAAGCAATATTTTGAACTTTTTTGTTGTGATCTAGTTTAGAAATTCTATGGCCTTTTGCTGATTTTGTTTTTTATAAGGTTATAAATTGGTCTAAAATTACTTTTGGATGAATGAGTTTTACCTTTGAGAATATTCACGTAATAGAAATTTTGTAAGAATACAATGTTTGGATATATAGTATTATGTAAAATTACTTATAGGTGTGAAACTACCAAAATAAAAAAAGAATGCATTGCATGTTGTTTTATTTCGAAAAATTGTATAGAAAACTTATCTAATTTTTTACCCCAAATTTTAGAGGGATACCAAAGTGACAATAAATATATATAGTTTTAATGAGAACAAATTGTTAAATTAGAACGAAAATAAATCTTTCCCAAACTGTGTTCTGGCCAAAAGTTGCTTCTGCCCAAAATGCCCACATTGCATGTTAAAAACCTTTTGTATGCTATCAATTGATCCCCAAAATTAGTTTAGAGAGTTCCAGATTGCCTTCATGAGTTGCAAACAAAACTTGTGTATTATTATCTTTTCCTATTCTAAAATCTTCTTAACCTTATTATTATTATTATTATTTTAATTTTAGATCATCGCAATAGTTTTATAATAACTTTTCCAGACACTTCGTAAATCAATGTTTGGTACTTAGCAGGTTTTGTCATATTTTTGCAAAACAATTTTCCAACATTCTTCTATAGTAGTTTTTATTTTACTTCATTACACGTATAGCACAAGATATTTTAATATATCTGCAGGCTACCGTATTTGCAAACAAAGGCCTTAGAAGTCAAACTGTACGCCCTAGAATCACCTTTGTAGATGATTTAAGCAATTGGGGAAGAGTGAGTGGGTTCATTAATGTGCCTTAATTTGAATCTACAGTGACTTTAGAAGACAACCGTAAAGAACTAATTCAACCCAAGAGTTTAAACTATTGGGTTGAATTGGTTCTTTACATGGTATCAGAGCCTCGTGTCCCGGGTTCGATCCTCACCGCCTCTTACTTTTTCTTGTGGAATTTTCTTCGCATAGGTAGGTGGGCCTGTGTATTTCAAGTCCAGTAGACTTTCGTGTGGGGGGCGTGTTAGAGAATAGTATAAACTATTAAAAGGCCCCCACCCATCAGCTTAAGCTTTTGGGTTGAATTGGTTCTTTACAACAACATTCATAAATGCATGCTTAAATGCTCTTGAAGTCAGAGATCAAGACACACATGTGCCTCTTTAGCTTTACTAAGTGGAATGTAGCTTAACTTGCCTCACCTAGGCAACAAATGCATAGTTGTTTCTGAAATGTACTATTTCTTCCATTATTAGTTACTGTAGTACTCCAAAAATGCTGTCTATTATTGATTTAGCGTTAGTATTTAGCCTTTCTGCTGGATTTGGAACCTAATTTACTTTATTGTCCAAAAAAATTCCTATCTTTTTTATTTTTGTTAATCTCGAATATGCTGTTTGTTCTTGTAGTTCTGTTGGCCTTTCATTTGGATCCTTTGCATTTCAGTTATGTAGCCTTCTTGCCTCTCTTAGTCGTTTAATCTCCTGTCTTAGCTTTTCATGCAACAGACTTGGAAGCCTTGCTGCATTCTTTTGATTTTTCATGTTCCTTCTAGAATTTTCTGTTTTACCTAACTCCTAGTTGTACCTTCTTTTTCTCTCTAATAAAATTTCCTATTCTATGAGAACAAAAATAACTGAGTAAACTTCTGTGCTTCGTATCCATTAAGAAATATCCTAGGCCTTGTGGTTCTTTTAAAACGAGCAACCATATCAAAGGCATCATGAACACTCACTCATACAACAATATTGCTGAAATCTCATTTTGAATTTTATCTCAGATTCTCCTGGTTGGTATTATGGAGCCATAAATGAATAATTCTTTAGTGCTCTTTACTTTAGAATTATATTTTGTAACACCCCAAATTCTAACAATTTATAATAGCATAAATAAATTCAATAATTTTATAAATAACAGCGGAAGTTCAGAATAATCGAATTTGGAAAGTGTTACCGCCGCACCTGTACAGGGACAAGTGCAAGGCTAACTCTATTAGATTCAAATAAAAATCTAAGACTACAGTTTTTTTTTTATACATAATATTTATTACAGCTAGAAATCCTGAGTCGTATCCTCACTGCCCACTGCTAGCCCCATCCTTGCAACCTGATTTACTGAAAATCTACTCCCCCGCAGCCGCAAGATCATTACAGTCAACAAACACAAAAGTCAGCAAAGCTGTTAATCCCAATCAAATACAATTAATGTAATTAATAACAAATTAAATCAAATATCAAATAGTGTTCAAATCAGTTCCACATTAATCAAATCAAATATGAATATAATAATCAAAATTCCATTATATAATATTTATCTTTATTAAGTGCATTTAATGTATTTGGTAATTATCAACTAACATATTCAGCACAACATTAATCATAATATTACATAAATGGTAATATTCACAACTCAATGACATTCATCATAATCAAATCAAATAACATTTCATTATTAATCATGTTTAAGTTCATTGTACTTAGTGGGAAGAGAACCATGGTAGACCCGGGAAACCCTGCCAGTCACAAACAAATCACATTGGCCATAATCAATTCACATCTTCCTAGTGTGCACACCTCTTTTCAAAGTTGCTACTAGTATCCCGGGGAACCCTGCCAGACACCACTTTGGAAAGAACGGATATAATCTTTTTCACATCAGTTTCACATCGGAGGCATAAAGCCCAAAAGTTGTGTTCATCACCTTGGGAGGTACCATCCCAAAGCTATCCTCCCACTATTAATTTATTACAAACACACACAATCAGGAAAGATTCAATCATAATTATTTATTCTTTAAGTATTATCATCTCTAAATGAGTTACTCAAGGGCATTATAATTTTCCAAAGTATCATAATTCAAACAACTATTATCATAAATTTTTGAATTTATATAACAATTCAAATCTTCAACATCCATCATAATAAAATCCAAATCCGATCATCATAATAACTTTCCAATTTATTCAAGGATATGATAATTCAAATCTTCAACAGTCATCACAGTAAAATCCAAATCCGATCATCATCATAACTTTCCAATTTATTCAAGGATATGATAATTCAAATCTTCAACATTCATCACAGTAAAATCCAAATCCGATCCTCATCATAACTTTCCAATTTATTCAAGGATATAATAATTCAAATCTTCAACATTCATCATAGAAAAATCCAAATCCAATCATCGTCATTCAAATAATCCCATCACATCAATTATCATAGTTATTAATAATATAAATATTCAAATTCAATCATTAAAACACATATTTGGAAAGTTTTTCTTAAAGAGTAGTATAATTCCATAGTTTTCATAATTATTCAATAAGATCCATATATTGCACATGAATTAAATCTTATACCATATATTGCACGTAATTATAATTTCTAAAATAATAACATTTTATATCATATATTGCACATAATCATAATTTCTAAAATAAAAGTTTATATCATATATTGCACATAATCATAATTCTGAAATAATAAAAGTTTTCCAAAATATTTTAATTATCATATGTAGTAATCTAAATTTAAAAAAACAAATACCTATATATATATAGAAATGTTCATACCAAACTATTAAGAACATCTACGGATTACATATAAGGATTATGCCCAAATTTCATATAATAGAGATAACCTAAACACCTAGGGATTAGGATTACATCCAAGTTTTATATAAAAGAAATAACCTACAAATAGGATTACATATACCAAAATTCATATCAATATAACCTATGACTTTCTAGGGATTAGGATTACTATTAATAAACTTCAAACAAAATTATAACCAAAGGATTAGGATTACACATATCAAACATATAACTACCTAAAGATTAGGATACACACAATAAAATTTCATACACAACGAATCTACAACCACCTAGAGATTAGGATTACTATTAATAAACTTCAAACAAAATTATAACATAAGGATTAGGATTACACCCAATAAAATTTCATACACAACAAATCTACAACCACCTAGAGATTAGGATTACCTAGTCTCCGTGTTTGGTGACTTCTACAACTTGGGAAAGAGAAGCGGTTGGTAACCAAAGAAAGATAATAATAAAAATAAAAATTTAAAGTGAGGAGAGAGAAAGAGAGAGTGTAGAGGAGAAGAAGAGTGGTTGAGAATTATTGAGGATTCAGAGTGAATTGGTTTGGTTAGGTTAGGCCTCTATTTATAGTTGAAGTTTTGGATTCAGATATGGGTTTCGTGCATTTATTTCCTTTTTCTTTATTGATGTATTTGACTCAGATATTGGCTTCATACATTACTGACTCAATGCTGACTCATCATATCTAAACAATTTATGTTTGTTGACTCATCATAATCCAATCAAACATTAGCAATCAAATAATCAAACATTAAAGCATAATGATCAATCAAATAATCACAATTTATCACCCATTATTATTATTACTAATTTATAATTTATTAGTATTATTAATTTATTGTATTATAAATTACTATTATTTTCCTGGGATATTACATTCTACCCTCCTTAAAAGAAGTTTCGCCCTCGAAACTTAAAAGTTTGAGCTTCTCAATTAAACTAAAAGGCATAAGGTTAAAGTTAATAAAAATATGGGATATTACATATTTTGTTTCTGAAGTTTCGTTTATAATGAGCTTTGAAACAAAAGTAGCGAAATACCTTCTCCCATGGTTCTTATTCTAATCTTTGGTGAATGACGTCAATCTTATCTGCTCGTGTCCCCATATTCATTCCATGTGAAAGCATGCAGGGCTTACATTTTATGCTTTCTAATCATTTATCTTTATATGTCAACAATTTTAATATTCATTATCCTTATATATCTTACTTAAAATTAAATTCTAATGTGCATCTCTGCAGGGAGATTTCTGGTGCATTGGTTGGCAAAATAGTGGGACACAATCAAGAGACAGTAAGAATATGACTTTATTGGGAGGTATTCTCTTGTAATCTTTGTCTATACCAATATTAGGTTTTACCACTAATTCGCTGAGTAATGCTTTTGGCTTTAGATTAAACTGCTATAGCCATTATAAGAAAGGGTTATGTTTATCTCATTTTACATGAGATGAATAATTTTCCTACACATACAATAAAGGGTTGGGTCCCACCACTCTTTTTTCTCTCTCCTCTTACCTGTGTGTCCCACTTATAACTTTATTTCTACAACATGAGGTAACTTTTTTCCTACAACATAAAAATATTTCCCTATAAGAAAAGAAAGAGGGTGATTTTGTGACTGTGTTTTGAGATAAAACTTGTGAACATGATGGCATCTGAATTTTGGAGAGGCCAACATCTTGGCTTGGCAAGCAAGACCCAATGTAGGGTCATTTTGGATCGAGCACTTACTACTAGGCTAAAAGCTATAGCTGTTAATCTGGGCATAACTCTTTCTACCCACCCCCTAATGTATTTCTCATCCTCCTTGTTGTTTATCCCTTATTTCCTTCTACTGTACTTATCCACTCATTAACCCAATATAAATACTCTTCCTTTTACTATGGGTAATTTTCTTTCCGCAAAAAAATGGTTAAAGGAGGTTGAATTGATCAACTAGTATAGTTTAGGCCATTGATTACCTTTGGGTTTTTTGTAGAATAGTTTTTTATTTAATTATATGAACCTGCAAATGACAACTATTTTGATGAAGTGAAACCTGTCAATACGAAGGTGAATCTGGAATTGAAACTAAATGAATAACTTAGCCTGGCTCTTTGACGAATTGCCAAAGAAATAGCGCTGGTTGCCCTCTTGCATGTGAGTTGGGGTTTTGTTTTGGGGACCTGTCATTTAGATGGATCTTTGGGCTGTAAGTGTTGAATAATTTTTGTGTGGAGAATAGTTTATCCCAACTTATATTCCACATTGTGAGTCTGTGGTGGAGAAAACATGTATGTACTGGAGATAAGATTAATTTCAGTACCCCATAATAAGAAAGTTCTGGCTAAATATTTCAATAAATGTTTTCTTTTTACTGGTGGAACATATTTCCTAATCTTTTTATGTAAATTTTAATGGATTTATCAATAATCATTTTGGATCTCTAGAATGTATGCTTTCCATGACCTTACTCTGAGGTTCACCTATATTTTTTGTTTGTTGCAGATTTAGTGCTTTCAAATAAACTTGTCTTTTATGACCTTGAAAATCAGGTTATTGGATGGACTGAGTACAACTGTGAGTATCATTTCTTAGTTCTTTATTATCTCTCGTATTTTAGTTATTTTTTTTTTTCACAAATGTTTATTGGTGATGCACAATTTCATGCCCCCAAAGTCTTTTGCGCTTTCTTCAGGCTTCTATTTGGTGGTTTTCGCAGTTTTATGCCAAGTGCTGAATAACAGTAGTTTATTTAGTCCACTTTTCTAGCTATGTGCTTACGTGTTCGTATATTTTATCGCTAATTATAACTTGTTTTAAGATTCAAAAGACAAACTAACTATAACACTGTCTAAATTTATTTAAAATTAGTATATTAATAAAATATACCTCCATGAAATTCAAACTAGGGATCAGGTGATTTGTGTTGGCATTGATAATCTTGTGCCTGTGTAGGATGTGGCCTGTGTAAGATGTGCAGTGCCTCTAAAATTTCATTTCTCTCTTTACTCTCTTTACTTCTTAATTTGGTTAAAGTGAATGGTTTATCTTGGGATCGAGCTTGGATAGTTATTACTATGGTCTATGAGAGAGAGAGAGATGTCAAATCCTGGGGACACTGAAGAATGAATATTTGGCTAATTTTCCCTGTCATTATGTTTCGTGAATTTTGCAAAATTAAGTTTGCTTCTTTGCATTTCTCTAGTATTTGGTGTCTAATTCTTGGCTTCATCAGTAATCTTCCATGTTTGGAATACTAGTTTTTAATTTCGAGAAAGGCATAGTTCCATATCGTTGATTGAGTTCACATTATCTGTTTGCTCATCATTGAGGTGTTTGGTGTATAAAGTGTTTCCTTTAACCACTAATTACTCATTTCATTTCAGATTGCTTACTTATGCCTAATTGTTGAATTAAATATATCTAATTGTTGAAATTAAAGAGAATATATTATTGGCATGCTTTTTAGAGATGGTTTGGGTAGAATGGCATTATAAGAGATAAATTTTGAATGGCCTGCATTTTTTTCCATTTGCATAACTGTTCATTTAATAATCTCGTGTATGTTGTATCTCAGGTTCTTCAAGCATTGAAGTGAAGGATGAGCGGACGGGAACAGTTCATTTAGTTGGTTCCCACTATATTTCTTCTGTTTGCACTTTAAATACCAATTGGGTGATAGTCTGGTTACTAATTGCACTACTTCACAAGTTGATTTATTGAAATGGAGCAACTAATACATATACAAAGGTCAAAATTGTGGTTAAAGGAATTGAAAATAGAAAGGACATAAAAAATAGGAGAAATTGTTTCTTAAGGAACTTTCATGATTTGTAAATGTGTTTTTTAGGAAACCGAGGACACCGACCATTGGGAACCTTCGCCGTGGGTAAAATTTTCCTTCCCATGGTGAATCTGTAAATTACAAAAGCTCACCACCACCAACTGTATATGTTATTAGACTTGGCTTGGGTCTCTGTCAAATGTATAACTAGTATGCTACAGGTCAAATATGGAATTAAAGTTATAACTGCTACTCGTCCACATCGGTAATTGTATTCTACAGCATTTGAGGAAGGTAAAATAATCAACATGAATTAAGGTTAAAAATGAAAATTAGCCCTTATGAGGGACGTACCTCTTATGAATGAAGCAATAGCTCCAATTCAGGCAAGGATTCAAACTGCACGACTTAAGTATGAGATTAAGAGCTTACAACCATTCTTGAACTTAACATTCCGGAGGGTGTTTGCCAATTCTGTATTGGGGCGTAGAACATGCACTTCTCGTGATGTAGTTATAGACCATAGTTCTTCGGGAAGCTTATTAATAAAACAAGCAGGTATGGATGAGCAGATGTTCTAGACGAGGCATTGCACCTTTATCTAATCTCCACTTTCGGACAGCAAATCTCTCTGAAACACTTGAAGCTGTGGGAACTCTTCAGCTTCACAGTTTAGGTCAAAATAAATCTCCATAACGTAATGTTCTCGCGATCTTAATTTCAAAATTTGGAGGTTAGTAAGCCATCCTAGAGTAAGTCATTAAGGAGATTACCCATTAGTTTAATATCTGCTGCTCCTGGCCTCTCCATACGCCATGTGTCTCTTACTGGAGATACTAGCTGCTTTTTCTTTATATCTAGCGTTTCTAGATTACAAAGGTTGCATATAGAAGCTGTAATTGGAATATCACGGACACGTGTGTCTATTCTCAAGTACCTTAAATGAACCATTGTAATGAAATCACTGGATGGTAAAGAAAATCATGCTCCTCTGGAGGATAGCACGCGAGCCAACTTGAGGCCTTTTAGAATATGATATGGGTATTTCACTTCAGAAAATAAGAACAAGGCACGGGCGCATGATTGACTAAATTTGCTTGAAGAGATATAAGAATGTGGTTTGCTGTGCAAGGACAATCTACAGGGATTACTCAGGTCATCAACGTTACCCTTGGTGCAAACCTCCAATTTTTTTTAGGATTTGCTTGCAGACGTCACGAAGAAGATAGTGAATTCGACATGTTTTGTAGTCAGCAACATCTTCCGGTTCTGGTGGATTAGGGATTCCAATGTTGTGGTTGTACGAAGCCTTCAGCTACCCATAAATTGCATCAATTCCCTCACATGAATCAGTCTTCGGGGTAGATTCAAAAATACGGAAAACAGGGCTTTAATCTTGGAGGCAAGGTGTCATAGCTGAGCTTCAGTATACCCATCACATCATTCTTGTCCTGAGTAAGATGGGCTGCATCACACCTTACTGTTGCATCATACCTAATCTTGCTAATGCAATTTCTCCCAAAACAATTGTATTCTTTTAAACGAGGTTCAAGCTCGTAGGTACCACAATATGATCATACTATAAAATTACAATATCATTTATAACTATGACAGAAGCACAGCATTGAGATAGAATCAACAAAAACCTGATACAAAAGTCCATAACAAATGAATCCATTCTTCAGTTCTCGTTTTTTTACTTAACTGGAAAATACAACTACAACTTAAGAATAATGCACATAAAAATGACGACAGATTTCAGATAACCATAGGACAAACTATATAATATGAATCTAGAGAGACTTGGATTTACAAAAACTCCAAATCTACCAAATATACAGAGAAGGAAAATGACCTCCAGCACAAAAAATAAGCCCGGTACCACTTTTCCTCCGGATATAAAATACATATTAAACCCCCTTTCCCCCTCAAATGCCGTCGAAGGAAATGAAAGATAAATAATGAAAAGAATATTGGCAGAAAAACTACCAAAAAATACCCAAAATAATGACCCTTTCTTTTTGACTGTTGCAGCACAATTTTCCCAACCTTCTTAATAAAACCAGCAAGGCTAGGGATGAGACATGGTACAAAAGCTATGATATTACTGCTGTTTTTCAGCTTCCACTCCAATTCCATTCTCACCAAGTAGAGGTGACTGCTCAGATTGGTCAATTGATGCCTGTGGTACCAGCTTGTCCATGATATATGCTGACTTGAAGTCTGAATTTGAATCAAAGAAGAGGCAAACTACAGCACAATCATCAACCTTACAAAAAGGGAATTTTGTCCTCCATGCTCGAACAGCTGACTCAACTAGTGCTCGAGCCGCGGTAGAGCGTGAAGCTGAAGCTACAATGTCCACAACTTCTTCGTTTGTTAAAACGTCCCAAATCTGCCCAGAACAATTAAAGACAGTTTAAAACAACTCAGATAGTTCATACACATTGTCTTGCTCCAGCATGTAGTTCTTCATGCCCAGCTAAGAAACAACTCAAACAGGGCACTTTCATTCCTGATCAAAGTTTCATGATGTAAATAACTAATTCAACCCAAAACCTTAAGGTGTTGGGTGAAGGCCTTTTTAATGGTTTATACTATTCTCTAAAACATCTCCTCACACAAGAGCCCTTTGGGCTTGAGGCGTGGATATTGTATAGGCCCAATTTTTTTCCTTTTTTTTTATTTACCTTATGCTTATTTAATTCCACAAGTGGAGGGCGGTGAGAATCAAACTCGTAACCTTGTGGTTACTGAAGCTCTGATACCATGATCGAGTTCTGAGAGAATGCCATGAGAGAGAAAAGAGAGAAGAGAGATAGAGAGAGAATGAAACTGAATCTTATGTATTGAATAATATGTGTTCTACTTACACAAGCACTCTAATATATATGGGTTGAAATGGGTAAAGCAGCTGATGAGTCAGCATGCAACAAACTAACAGAAAGCTAAAACAGATCTGTAACAAACAGCAGGAGGGAGAGATCTGATACACCCAAGGGAAAAAGCTAATGCTACAACAGCAAGCTAGAAGCTATATATCTAATAGGCCCTAGGGTGCAACATATGCATTATTTTTGGTTTAGACAGAATGCTCGGATCTTTCATGGAAAATGCACCTCTTTAGCATTGCATTCAGTCAAGATTGTTTGAATCAAATTTCTTCAGGGTTCAGTAAATTGTAATAAAATTTTGTACTTTCCCCTAATAAATTATCCTTTTAAAAAAAGTTAGTGTAATTTTCATCCATCTAATCAATTACATCTTGACAGAAAATAATATTCCATAACCCAGTTAGGTGCAAAAAATGTAAGCAGATCATGTGTGATAAAATAATCAAAACATTTTTTTGGCTTAGGACAATTTAGGCGAATATATATTTTCAAGAGTTATAGAATGCGGAACATCAGAGAAAATTAAAATAGTTAAACCTTAATATGAGGGTAGAAGAAAAAGAGAAATCAGTATATTGATGTAAATGGCAAGCTTTTCCCAAATCCCAACAGTTCCTGTTCCAAAGAGGGAATAAATAACATGCATGTAGATATATAAATATGGTTTGCCTTCTGAGATACAACAGGATCAAAATAGGTATTGGATCAAAATAGGTATTGGTGCCACATTTGATATTGAGTTTGTTTGTATTAAGAATTTAAGATTTAAGACATTTATCTTAGTGGTTAAGTCAAGTCAAATAATAATTGATAAATTTTATTAACAGATTTCAAATGACAAGTGATTAGCTTAAACAGTAAAGAGGTCAATTTAAATGCAGTCAACTTAGAACCAAATTTCGTTATTTCAACTTACTTGAAGGTAATGCAAGCAGCAGTTTGAACACCATTTAGAGTTAATTGTATTCTAGAATTGGCTTTAAATATCATATTAAAATAAATCAGTTTCAACAAATATAGATCATAAAAAATGGCATATCATATGAAAAGAGCCCTTAGGTCTTACCCCATCTGTTGCTAATACAACAAATTCATCTTTCTCAGTAAGGCGGTGATAGGAGATATCCGGAACAGCGATCAATCCGAAGTCCTTCAAACAAAAATCTCCAAAAGCCCGTGCCATAGCAAGACCAGGGAAATCAGAGTTAGGCAGCCAAACTCGAGCCACCTCAGGTTCATTCTGAAGGGAAAAAACCCTTCCTCTACGAAGCTTGATCCTTTCTTCTTCCCCTAAACAAATTCCAAATCACAGCATTTAGTAAATAACACAATGGAAATATAATTTCACCAATCTTGAATGTAATTTTCACAAAGGTCAAGTTTTTCTACAAGGGAACCAAAGAAATATATTGGAAAAAGAAAAGAAAAGAAAAAGACATCAAAGTTGTAGATCATAAATCAATGAAACAAAGAAAAAGTAGGTCTCTACTAGTGTTAGACCAGACTTGAAACAAGTTGTTAAGAACTTATATTAGATCAGAAAAATATGGAGATTAACCCCTTAAAGCAGAGTGGAGCCTCATAATAAATAAAATAAAATCAGATGTGAAAAGAAAAGATGGAAATGATAAGGACACTGCAGAACTTCAAGGGTCTGCTTCCTCCCTGCCCAAAGGCCCAAATGCTCACTCAATGATTTGCTGCCCTCCTTCCAGTCTTATCTCCCTTTTAAGTTTTACACTTGCTTCTAAACATTTTCTCTTTGCTTCCCACACTCCATGGCGACTGTGTTATGACCAGGATTGTAACAGAGGAGCAACCTAAGGCCTGGAAGGTATATTCCTCCAGGCAGCAGTTAGAGGGCATTAATTAAGGGCTCAGGAAAGTTAGCACATGTTAGTGAGGCAGCTATGCCGTTAGAAGTGTATGAGGGAAATCCTATAGTGGTATATAAGGGAGACACTCCATATTGATCGACACTTATGGAGGATATTGATGTGACTGTGATATTTCTGTGTGACAGGAGAATTTCCCTGTGAAAAGCTCTGCTCTTGAATTTTTTCTATCATCAACAAAGAAACTCTATTCTTTCTAGCGTCTTTATCTTTCTCGCAATCTATCTTAATCCCAATACTGTAAGATCACTCACCTTCAAATCCAGAGCTGTAACACATTGCCACAAGGCAAAGTTGTTTACTAGTCTTCTTCCCCTACTTCTCTATTCCCCTACTTCCATTTCTGTTAAATTCAGTAAACATGCGAGCCTAACACTAGCATATAACTATAACTAGCTATATAAAACATTTCAATTCCTAAAGAAATCCTTTTTCAAGATGACATATAAGTATACTTTTTTTTTTTTTGGGTACATGCATATAAGTATAATTTACTCAGCAGTGAACAGATCAGATTAAAAACCCCAGCTATTACTTCATAATTTTAGTACGACAGCAACTTCATAAAGTACCACAAAACTCATGCCAGGTCTAATCATTTCAAGTTAACTGGCTTGTCAATTTTCATTTTTGTATCCGTTATACACATTAGAAAGACATCGTGTCTCCAGTATAACATTCTACTTCACAATAAAAAAAGTGATACACCAAGGAGGAGCTCATGGCCAAGGTTCTGAATGAAGGGCATATCTCAAAGCTTATTATTAGGATGTTAGCAGATTCAATGATACATAGAAAGACTTAAAATATTGGTCCAAAAAAACAACTTAACAAAAAGTGGGATATTTTGATTAGATCTGCTCACGTGGCTAATATGCTGTAAAATGTTGTTAGCAAAATTTCAACTTGTTAAGTTTCCTTTTAACAGGGGTTATGCTATAAAATTAAATCATTAAACATAAATGTCTTCTAGTAGTTATCAAGCACGCTTAGAAGCATTTTAACACAAGGTTTTCCAATGCATCATCACATCCATTGTATACCCTTGTAGATTACCATAAATAATAATCACTAGTCCATTTTTTCTTACTCGGACAAGCACTATCATTAACATCATCATCATGAAGCTGCTATTATTGAACAATGAAGCTGCACAGAATATTGTTTGGCTATAGAGAATTATCTTGTAAATATTCAAAGTGATCTATTTGTTTAACAATAATATAAGCACATGGAATTCTTCAATATACTTCATCAAGTTCATTCTGAACACACATAGAAAGGGGAAGAGAGAGAGAGAGATACTTGGAAGATTTGGCTTAAGGTCAATGGTTAACTGAACAGCAATAAGAGAATCATCATGATCTCGGGTACCCAATACAGCTCTTGAATCTCCAATATTTCCAATAACTAGGTCCAGCCCCTAAAAGCATATAAGGAGTAAAAAAGTGTAAAACAGACAAGGAAATTATCAAGAGAACATAAAGTTGTGATTTATATTGCTAACCTGTTTGACCAAGGTAACAGCTGTAGTCCCGCTACAAAAGCAATCAATATCAGGATGCAGTTTCAGTTCTTTGTCCATGATCTTACAAGCCTTCAAAAAAGATTCTCTTAGTGTCAAAATAGTATTTGTTCCATCAAGCTCATGATCAGTGGGACTAGGTTTCTCATCAACCAGTCTAAATCCAGTCCCTTCAGATTTATAACTTCCAGCAGCACTGCTATGATCACTGAGTCCATCTTTATTCTTACGATGCAAATCCCATTGAGCATTGAGCTTTATAGGGAAAGAATCCCTAACTTTCTTAGCAACCCTATGGCCATAAGGTCCATGACCATCAAAAACACCACAAAAAATAGTGCCCTCCTTTGAACAAAAATTCTGCAAAATGAAAATGGCCTTAGTTTTGTGTGCATCATTAACGTCTATAACATTAGTCTTAGTGCAAACTGAAAGAATCAAACTATGAGTAAACCATCTAAACAATAGAGGAACTACTGTGTGTAATACAATTAATGTATCTCATTCAAACTATGCTAAGTTAGGTGGGAAAAGATAACCGAGGTAAAGGTCAGACACAGGTAATAACATACTCGTTCGGTGAAGGCTCCACCCATCACATTTCGTATTAATTCCAAAGCCACAAATAACTGATGTTTTTTTAATTAAAAAAAAAAGAACAAAACTAATCCATGGACGCTTGATCTAAGCTGAAAGATAAGCAAACAAAAATAATTAAAAAAATTTAATGCAGAAGACATAAATAACCCTTGACGGTTATTTTAAAAATTTATAATAAGCAGAACACCAGCTCAGCTTTGATTACCATCAAAACACACAACTTTTTCATTTTCAAAAAGGTAGGAAGAAAAAAAGCATTTATTTCTATTATTGCAAATTGCACGACAAGAGTACATACGGTACATATAATATTCCAAAACAACATTAATTCAATAGACGCTAAGAGAGAAGTGGCTAACCTCCCAAACAAGCATAGCATCTTGGTTGATCCCTTTTCTACCTTGCTTGCAATACATGGATGCAACCTCGCTTGACCCATTCAAGAACATCCTCCCAGGCACTTTATAATCAAAAGAAGTGGAACCCCTCAACCTCCTCTTCTTCCCACCATCCAAATTGGATTCAGCTGCATAAGGGAGAAGAGGAGGGGGACCACCACCAGCACCAACCTCTGAGATGCACGATCCCATTCCCAGTGCCCTCACAATGTTCAAGAAGCACTCAAAACCCACCAAACACTCCGAATCAGAACCCCTCGCTTCCCCCACCAGATCCGTCCCATACCGATTGAGCACCTCCACGGCCTGTCACAATAATCATCATCATTTCAGAAAAAAACAAAAAAACAAAAAATCAAACCACTAGATATTAAGATTCAGATTCGGAAACAGACAAAACCAAAACGCGAAAAAAAGCAATCAGAATAAAACCTGAGTCATAATTGCAATTGAATCCGATTCGATCGAATTAACGCAAATCCAATCGTGAATCAGCCTATATAACAGTAACCTTGTTGATAATCTGCTTGAATCGGAACTCGACGCCCACGTATATTGAGCAATATGAAAATCAAATCGTGAAATTGCAAAAACTAATCAAAATTCCCGATCCAACATTTTCTCCATTTCGCATCAGAATCCTTTGATTTCTTAAAGAACAGCTTGCAAAAACAGAGAAGCGAAAGAACGAATCTAGAAGTTTCGATTGAGTTGAATTGAATTGAACTGAACAACGAGTTCTTCTTGTTCCGAAAAAGCTTGAGAGCAGCGCTACCGTCACGAGCGGGTGCGTCACCGGCAAGTGGTGACTTTTCGATGAATGGCTGTGACTATAGAAGTTTGTTTTTCCGCCACGCAAAATAAGGAATATATATATATAATAATAATAATAAGGAAAATGGAAGAATGGATCAGAACGACAACGCGTAAACGCAATCTGACAAATAAAAATATGATAAATAAACAATGACACGTGGCTTGGACGGCGCGGATTATTCGGGAGTGAGTGAATGGATAGGATTACGGAATGAGAAAAAACAATATGATTGTGTCATGTCTTATAACCAATCAATAATCGTTAACAGCTCAACATAAAGTACAACATTAGTGTACTTATCTCAAGTTTGTTTTACATAAGGTCGTTAATTTCCTAAAATAATTTTAGTTACTAATTAAATTTTGTTAATTACTTATCATTACTTGATTAGACGCGGTGGGTTTCAGAGGGTCAAATCTCTTCAAGAAGAAAATCAAAGATGGACGGCGATTCTCACTATTAATTGATGCACAATGGAAACATGAATCAAAGGATAGAATAGTCATCGTGGTGGTTGCTCTTACTATATTTCATCACTCAAGAATAAACTTTTATACTTTATAGTGATAATGAGGCGATTATATTTATTATTATTTTAATTTTATTATTTTTATTATTTGAATGATTATTATTTGATCAATTTAGAATTAATGACAATTATTTTTTTTTATTTTTTAACCGTTGATTTGAAATTGATCAAACGATAATCAATCGGGTAATAAGAGTAATAAATTTAAAATTATAGTAATATTCACATTTTATAATATGCTCTAGATTTTATTTTTGTATTTTCCAGAAATTAAAAAACAGTTAGTTCTTATCATGATAAGTGACTCGTTAATTAATTTTAAGGCTTGTTTGGAGCACTTGATAAAGAAGATATGATAAGATAACTTATCATATCTTACTTTTATCTCTTGTTTGGTGGGTCAATAGAATATGATTAATTTTATCCTATCTAAGGCTGTGCAGAGAGCCGGTTTTAACAAAAATCGAACCGAACCGGTTTTTTTTTTTAAAATCAGTTTTTAATTTTCTAAACCGGTTTGAAACCGGTTTTGATTTAAAACCGATTTTAACACGATTTTAATTCAAAATCAGTTTTAAATCAAAACCGGTTATAAACCATAAACCGGTTATCAAGTTCGAAACCAGTTTTTTAACAAATTCAAAATCGATTTTTGATGAATTGTGTTATTTTTATAAGTAGTCGTTTGTTTCTCCTGATTATAGGTAGTTAACTAACTATTTCTTACAAATTTTTTTATTGTTTTAGAATTAGTTGCTATTAAATTTGTTGTAATAAGCCAACACATGCTTTTATTCATGCTATATGTTGGAAAAATGGGACTTTTGTACATGAATGCCCACTATAAGGTTGATAATTCTGGATAGTGCATTGAGAATGAAATTTTCTGTATTTACCCAAAGATAAGTTTGCAATGGGTCTTTCGATGATTTTCCACTGTGAGTATGAAAAAATTGCAGCGTACATAAAGTGTTATTTTAGGTTCTATAAAGTGATATTTTTGAGAATTTTGAAATATGCTGATGCACCATGGCAGACTAAATTTCTCTACATGATTCGAGCCTTCTCCTTTGTCATTTTTTTTTTGGTAATAATAGTTGTTACTTTACGTAAGAAGTGCTTTCTTATTATAAGACCTTTCGATTCATGTGTAATTTTTTTTAAATAAATGTTTTCTACTTGAACTCCTTAACTTTTTTTTTGCTAGTTTATTGTTTGAAAGTTCGAATCAATTGACTAATATAACAGACATAAAACATAATACTTATTTGTTCTTTAATTGTAGAGCAGTTTGGTTATGGATAATCATGGACAACCAATTATTTTTATGATTTGGTAAATAACCAGTTTATAAAATAAAATGCAGTTTCATATGAAATCAGTTTTTAAAAATAACCGATTTTTAAAATGTGGAGCAGTTTGGTTATGGATCAGTTTGATTCTTTTAGATATTTTGAACACCCCTAATCTTATCCAATACATGATTTCTTATCTTATGCTGAGTTAGGATTCAACAAGATAGGATACCAATATTGGATACCCAATATATCCCCACGCTACCCAATATATTTGTATTTATTGCATTATATATATATATTTTTTTTTCTACATAATCTTATCAGATTGCTAATCAGGTGCTCATCAAACGATATAGGCTTATCAGGCTCATATTGTATTCTATCCTCATCAACCCCATATCATATCCCACCCTTATCCATCAAACGAGCCCTTAATAAATTAGGAAAATAGACTTAATCAATATCGTTAAAAGATTCTTCTCAAAATATTGAATTGAATAAAAATAAGAATAATCAAGTCTCGACTTATCTGAAGTTATCAATAAACAAAATTATAGATTTTTGTATTATTTTAGAAGGTATTTCTTTAGGGAAGGTTGTATAAACCGAAAATAATTGAAAACTCTAACTACTACATTACATAGATCCTTCAGGTCCAAATTCAAAGCATTCTAGATTTTTCCATTCAAGATTCTCATGAACGAGGCACCTATCTAGTTCCCATAAGCGCTAGTTTCATACTAACAGAAAATACTTGGGACACAGTCAAAAGAGGGATGATTTCAGCCACACAATTTTTTTTTATTTCAAAGTAATTTTTTTTTTGTTTTTTATTTTTTATTTTTGCATAAACTTGATCATTAAGCTTTCGGCTAGAAAGAAAAGAGGAAAAAGCTTCAACCGAATTAAGCTGAGTTTGAATAGAGAAATACAAAAAACAAGAAACGAAACTGAGTATTTCAAACTTGTAACTTGTTTGTCCAAACTCGCATTTGAGTATAATCGTCGCACACATGTTTGACACTGCAACTCTTTTTTTCTTTTAAGGGAGAATTTATCTCTAAGGTGGGTTTTAACAAAAATGTACAAAGTTTTATAAGGAAAGGAAAATGAGCAAAAAAGAAAAAAAGAAAAAAAAAGAAAGAGAAATGAATGAAGTGCATTGTATAATTTGAAGCCACATGCTTTTTTTTTATGTCCAATAACTAAAACAATTCATCTATTTTAACAGGACTACAACGCAACTTTAGGTAATTAACAATGGCAAGGTCTTTTAGTCAAAGAATAGAAGACATGATTTGTCGTAAGAATTAAACGTATTTCTTTTTCCCTGAATATATCCATTATTTTATGGATTGCCCGATTAGTCTGATTTAAATACTGTCCTATTATAAGAAATATTCTTCCAAGATCATTTATCATATTCCAAAAATCGGATTAAAGCGAACAAAATTTTTATTAATTGAATCAATGATTGAATTAGAAAAATTATTGATTCAATTAATAAAAATAATCATCGGCGTATGCAAGAGTTAACAAGGTGAAATTAATTCATAGAAATAAAATCTAGCGAGTGACACCGACAAGTTTATTTTTATTGGATCGTTAATATGTGAATAGATACAGCTTTTCGGCCTAACTCGTGGGGCTAGCCACTTGGGCCACAAATAATCACCAGCCACATGCATGCTGCACCTGCTGGTCTAAACGTGTTTGACCATTAGGTGCATTAAATAATTTATTTAACCTAAATAATAAGATTTTCCATTTTTAAGTTTTCATATGATTAACCTCGGAATTATGGACATGTGTACCAAGATCACTATAAATTTTTGTAGCGGCGTATGAAAAGCCCTTGCCTTGAATTAGACTAGAATAATCTTCCTTCCTCGTGAGTTTTTCATAAAAAAATTCATGTAAATTCTATTCTGGTGTTACTTTTTGTAACCTGAATAAAAGTGGGGCAATCATGTGCATAGCAGATACACGATAGTTTAATTTCTTGCAATTCTAAATAGGGGCCAAAGTAATTTATATTGTTTGCCACTAATAAAAACATAAAAGACTCGGAATAGATTTTGTTTGAAATAAAAAAATTCAAATTTACATTACAAATTCTGCAACCAAGGAATGTATATAATAACAAAATCGACCATAACGTAAATATATACCATACAAGATATAGATTTTTCACGAAGTGTTTGATATTACAAATGACTTGACTTCTGCACAACAACAAAGAAAAGCTATAAAGAATCCACACACTGCCACACAGTTCAAAATTATTGCATACCAATAACTTTAAGAACCCTTATTAACTTACCACTTTCAAAGGGATTGGCACAAGAATATCATATGCTAATAAATATAATCTAACTTAAGATGTAGCCTTGGAAGATGGGTTGAAAGGAACCTGCTCAGCACATGTAAGGATATCGTGGGAACCAGCTTCTTCTCGACCAACACCCAGAAGGTCAAGATAATATAGGTAATGGGAAACGATATTGTTCATTGAGTCAATATCACCTTGTCCACAAACACCATCTCCATAGAGAATGTTCATTGTGGTGCCAAAACCAGGAACCCGATGCTCCAGAGTGTCATTCTTGGTAGGCTTCCAGTTGCCAACAAAGGCATCATGGGCAGAGGGTTGTGACTTTTTGATTGGTGTCATCCATCTCCAAATTGCAGCCTGGAAAGCAAGGGTTGCATTCTGCTCTATGTATTCTGGATGGCTCAATAGATCAACATCCAAACCTTCTCCAGTGGCGCCATAGTTGTAGTTCCTATATTGAAGTAACCAGTAAGTACAACCTCCACATTCAACAAGCACAATGATGTACATATATTTAAAGGTATGTTGTGATAGACACACACACATAAGTGCAGCCTACCATGCTATCCTATTCGAATGTCTTATTGCCTATTCTATATTTCAAGAAAACCCGCTTCAATTAAATATATTATCATGAAAATGTGCATGAAATACTAGTTTAAATATTCAAAGCAGTTTCATCTATGACTAAACCCTTGGCCTTGACAGTTGAAATGCTACTTAATCTGACCACAAATTGCCATTATACTAACATGGTAAAATACTCAACCAATCTAAACCAAACAGAACGTTATATACCAGAACAATAGAAAGTCTGGGAACAGGTTTAAGTGATATAGAAAACCTCCACATGCATATATTATATTTACATTTTAAATGGTATTAATGACAGTTCCACATATCATCTACACAAACCCAGAAATCCAGCTCTCTATCTCTCTTTAATCCATCTTTTACACCATTTTTCTTTCTATTTTCCCCTTTCTTTTTCTACTTTACCGCTTGTTGCACCAGGTTCTGTCTCATTTACTCTGATCTTTCAAAACTTTGCAAGGCTCAGTTAACTCCTATCTTTTCACGGTTTTGATTTGAAGGATCTATAATCACCACAATGAGCTGTTCAATGATGTTTTGAATGTTTCCCAGTGGTTACATGTGTCAAATGTGTCACTTACATTTCATAGACTGTTCAAACATAACTTCTTTGTTAAACTGAGTTCGATGATCATGGTTATTCAGGTGCTTAGGATGAAATAAATGGCGAGAGCATTAGAACGTAACAACTATCCATTTTCTTGGAAGAGAGGGGATGTTGTCACTGATGAACAAATAATGTCATGCGGTGGGTTGATTAAACCTTCAATGGGTCTGATTGATTTGGTACAGACAGGTCAGGGAGAATGGGGAAATCTTAAAATGACATTGGACAAGTTTGGGATGAATAACAATCAGAGAGGTTCACGAATGAGAAAGAAACTTCTAAGATTAGCTACCTTTTGGCATCTCTATGCATGATAAAGCAATTTAGTCAAACAATGGGGATATCCAGAACAAGGAAAATATGCTTCTATCATCAGTACAGCTAAAACATATACTTACCAGTAAATAGGAATGGCTCCACGTCCATAGTAATCAGCACCAGGAGAACAGGGATATGTGAATTTGTAATAGTCATCACAGTATGACTGACTAGGACTCATTTCATGATTGTAACAAAGACCATAGGCCAAAGGTCCTCCGGTGGCCACTCCATAACCACCTGGCATAAGCATCATAAGAGCGATCAACAACACAGTTCTCCAAATCAAAGCACAATTGAATCAACCATTACACTTTGCACAAGTCCCACAACATAAATGATAAAATCTAAGTCAGATATCCCTAATGAATGAACTTCCACCAAGCATGTTTCTATCTTACAAAATAAAGATGAAGATGTCAGATGCCCATCGCCAATCATAAATCAACACAACAACTGAGTGTTCTCTCCTTTAACATAATTCACAAGCAACCATACATTTACCAAAAAAAAAAAAAAACTGATAACACATCATCTCATTGAATAATGTATGCAACAACCAAACTTAAAAAGAAGGAAACAAATCAAGGTTTACAGTACACCAATCAAATCAGACAACAATCATCAAAGTCATTCAAAGTTTCAATTTTCAAACACTAGACATTCAGATCTTCACCACTACAATTCCAAAGAATGTAATAATAACCCTATATATGAGAAAATCAATTTCACAAAATTAATCATAGAATTAACTGAGTTTTGAGACTAACAAGTGGTCTTGCTGCCGACATGTCCGAGGAATGCCGCAATCTCCATCATCTGTGTGGTCTTGTTTCCGGTGGTGCCAAAACCCAAGGGCTCATAAACCGCGGCGGCGGTGATGAAAGAGTGGTAGTCCCAGAAACCGACGGCATGAGCCACCGGCGCGTTACGCTTCGAGAAGAGATTCTCAAACTGGTAGGTTTGAAAGTAATCGGTGATTGTGAGGTTACAACAATAAATGGACCAACCCTTACATTCCCAACCCTTGTCACAGTACTTCTTCCCATGCTTATACTTCACCAGCGTCTTCGTGTCAGAATCATCACCCTTCACACTCACCACCGTAGCAGAAAACACAACCAACGCAACAAGAAGAACAACAACGCTTCTTTTCACCATCTCCATCTCTGATCTCTCTTTTCTGATTTCAAAGAGAGAAAGAGAGAGAGAGAGAGAATGAAATATATGTGTTTGTTAGATGGAAGGTTCTTTTCCAATGGTGTAATGTGGGTTGTTTCTACTACTACTACATGTGATTATATCTCGAACATGTTTAAGAATGATCGACGGTGCGTAGGAACAAAGCGTTCGATGTTTAAGTGAGAACAGGCTGGCTTTGAGGCAAGGAACCACTGTTCTCCACCGACAACTAAGGTTGGACGAGTGAAATGTCCTTATTGTCCTTCCTTGTTGTTTTGTTCGGTTCGGTTCGTGGGTCTATTCTAACGTGAATATGAAAATAAAATTGTGACCCGAAAAAATAAGAAATGGATCTTCTAATATGTAATTTAACATGATTATGTTATGTGGGAGAATCTAAATTATTAATAATTAAATTAATGGTGATGATTGTGTAACTTCCTATCGTTATATTTGTTCTCTCTCTTTCTTTATCACCATTAACTCACCCATCACTTATGTATGGTTACAATTATCTTACATAACATGATCATGTTAATTAGCATGTGAGAGAATTTAGTCCCCCAAAAGAATATAACTATGGAAAGAATCAAGAAAAAAGGAAGTTGTTGTAAACGAACAATAACACAACATCAAAAGAGAAAAACATTAAATAACAGCAACCGACAGAAACTCATTAACGGACCAAGTGACCAACTACTGATAATTGTACTCAATACCCCCACAAAACAATAAACAAATAAGTTCCCTCCACAAACTTAAATTATATAAAATCGATGTCAAATTCTAAATTACTCACATTAACTTTATGTTTTTGATAAATTATTTTTTGGAATTTTAAATTTTATAACTTACTTGCTTGAATTTTAAGCACTATTATTAAACCCGACTCAAATTGGTCGGATCGAACTGTAAACCAATGAATTGGTGAAAAAATCAGTTCGAGGGAGAAAATTGATCGACTTAGCTAGTTTTTGGCAAAAATCAATGATCTGTCCGATTTTCTTTGAATCAATTGAATTGGTAGATCGTGCATTTTTTCTTTTTTTGAAAAAGACAAAAACAAAACACATATACATGTATGTTTAAGTATTTGAATATTTTTACAAAATTTTGAACACAAAATATAAATTTGTATATATTTCTCCGGATCAATTGGTTTAACTAATGACTTAGTAAATCGGTACCCTGATCGAGTTGATAGGTCAGGTTTAATTCCATCAATTTTAAGTACTTAATAATTAATCCACAACTTTTTATATTTTTTTACATTATTAATATCAAGCATAACATTGTTCTCTCTTTTTTTAAAAAATTTAACCAAATATTTGTTATCATTAAGAAATAAGTTGTATAGATTTTTTTTTATATACAACAGGAAACAAAAACAACACACAACAGCTAACAACAGACCAATTTGGAGATAATAATCCCCATTTGGTCTCTCAAAATAAAATTCAAACACTCTAATGGAAGGTTCTCAGAATAATTGAGTCTATACAAAATTAACAGATCAGGTTAGATTTAAAATATTTTACATAGACCTAATCTCTTTTAAAGCAAAATCTAACCCAACCTATTTATACCTCAATTTGCAAGATTACTTTTCAATATGTCAAAATACTCTAGTGTAACAATCGATAAAAATATGTCAAAGTGTACAATTCTTCTTGTGTTGTTATTTAATGTACAAACGTAACTTTGATTATAGTGTCATATTGTTTAACATTGCTAGTTTGTTTAGAAAATAAGATAAAATTATTTTTCTTTTAATATAGAATGCTAATATTGGAGAAAAGTGAGGGAAAAGGGAAATTACATTAAAGTTATTTTATAGCTATATGACAAAGGATATCATCCAACTAATTTACGTGTCAGTTGAGATTAGGTATCTTCTTATCACGTTTTTAAGACACTTCTCATATTGATCTCTAGTCATTAGAATCAATACAATCAAATCAAACATATTAAGGATTGTTTATTAAACTATTAAATCTTTATTAGAAGCCAATGGCTGTTTTTATCCAAAAAAAATTACAAAGTCAATCCCATTTAGCTAGCTTTCTTTCACTTTTCAATTTTGATAGAACAATTTATAGAAAGAAAAACTCAATCAAGTTTAAAATGGAAGACTTCATATTGAAGAAACGAAAAAAGTAATGAGGCTTAGAGGCAATATCAAGAACCAAGCAAAACAAAGACTAAGAGATTACAAGCATCCATGAATTTTCATTTTGTGCACTTATATGTGAACTCCTCCTACATGCATCGTTATCAATCATCACCTTTAATCATCATTAATCTACAATTAGAAGAAGAGAATTGGAATGGCAACATTCCCTCAAGTGTTTGAACCACATTTTGAGGAGGGATCATTAATGAGAGGTTGGTGAGTTTGGGTAGCCATGGCCAATTCAAATTGCTTGAATGAAATTGGAGAGAAAGACAATAATTCAGGTGCCTTCAGATTGTCCCAACCATTGACATTATTTGTGGTAGTTGACCCATCAAGTCCAATATGTGTTACATGCTTCACATTTGTTGGATATCCAATTTCCATCTCAGGTTCCATCTCCTCAGTATCCTTTTTGTAAACTAAATTGAAGTGACAAGAATATTCAACATATTACAAAGAGATGCAATAAAATGGATATAAACAAGGGGAATTGAAATAAGTGGGCAAATTGTCCTAAATATGCTATGCAAATTTTGTCAGAAAATCAAACCTTAAATATGGCTCTGGTTCAGGCCGTTTGTGTTAAGAAAATCCTTATCTTAAATACATCTCGAATTACTTGTTTAAAGATATGATTAAATACTGATTAATAACCAATTTTCTTTTTTAAATAAATTATTCAAAGATTGAGTTCAAAATCAAATGTATTGTACTTTGTAAAATTAAACATGAATTTTTTTCAAATTTTGAAATTGATCAGAGATTGAGTTAATGTCAATTTAATAATTTTAAGTGTTTCCATACAAAATACTTTTAAATTTTCTTCATCTATAACATCATGTACAAAATAATAGGTGAAAAATAAATAAATATGATTATGGTATGAAATAAATAAAATACAGTGATTCTAAAAATAATCAACAAATTAAATATATAATATGTTAGCTCATTTTATTTAAAAATTCGAAAATCAAGTATAGTAATTAGACTTACTTTTTTGAAATTATCAAATAATATATCTAAATAGTATAAATTAAATTAGAATAAAATCAAATCTTGATAAATTAATTATATATTCATCAAAAAGCAACCTACGGAGTCACGCAAATCATTACTCCTTCACTGGGATTTGATCAACCTTTATTCAAGTATAATACAAAGTTATTGTGATTAGGATGAAACTTAATTTGATCAAACATTTCGAATGCCAGATAGTAAAAATAAAAATAAAAAATAAAATCAATCAATGTGCAAGAAATACTGAGCAGCTTGGATTTGGACACAAAAATTAATTGCTATGATTTTGTACATTAATACAGTTTCATGCTAGACAGCTGCCCAAAATCGTTTTTTTTTTTTTTATTTTATATAATGGTGGCATTGAAATTTAAATTTATAATCTCATATATACAAACAATCCCAACCCGTTAATACTATATCAATTCTAATGACTTGGCCAAAATTATTTTTAATTAATGGATACAATACGACAAAAGAAAAAAACTATACTGTGGTAATTTAAAATATAAAACGTTGAGACTAGAAAAGTGGTAACTAAGGGGAAAAGAAAAGTCCTTTACAGATGAATGCATGTGACAAAGATCAAATTCAGCCTTCAAATTACATACCATACCTCTAACCTGTCTCCTAGGTTGCCTACTTGCCTCTATATTTCAGCTATATATATGTTCCAATTTTTTTTTTTTTTTTTTTTTTTGGGGTAAACTATATATTCCATTTTCTTATCGTACAGGTCCATTAGGCATTAGCTACAAGGGTCATTTGATAAAAGAGAAATTAGTGCAGCACAGCTCATTTATCAAAAAATAGTCATATTGCATATAAATACAAGAAAGATCCAAGAAAAAAAAAATCACTTTGGTCTAGTGGCGAGGGATTTACATAGTTTATATTAAGTTATGTATTCCATTCTTACGTATATAAAAAAAAAACTACATATCAAAAGAAAAAAAAATTCAACCACCAAAAAAAACAAAAGACAAAAAATGCATCTACCATAAACTATATGCATTTAAAAAATAATTTATATGTAACTTTGATTCTCTGTCGGGCATATTGGAAATTGAAATTCAATGTACGAACAATAATAACTAATAACAGACAAAAGTAAAAAAACAAATAAAAATTCATAATTAAATCCACTCACAAAATAATCGAGATAAACTCTTGATGCCCCTGATTAATCGCTGTATGCCAGCAGCTACGTTAGGCTTTGGTAGAACCAGAAACCTCGAAGGCTTGCTTCTCTTCATAACTGATCTATCTTCGCCTTCTTGTCTTCCTTGCATAACAAATATCTCAAATTTCAGATATCATTCCATTCACCTATAAGCAAGAAAAAATGAATAGAGAGAGATAAACTCATGACATAGAGAAGAGAGACTAGCTACTTGAAGCAATAGGGCCTTTGGAATCTTCTTTTGGTCCTTTGGGTGCACCTAATTCCACACTTGAATGGGAAGCACATCTTAAAGAGAATGGACGAACTACGAATCTTTCCATACGTTTTCTCATTTTTCTTCCTAATAAACCCAAGTTTGAGGTGTAGTAACTTGTAATGTTTGAGACTTGAGAGCATAGCCTAGCTATGAATAGGGTTATATTGAGGTTCCTATTTGTCTTAATGGGCAAGCTAGAATGATTTACGTGGGGAAAGAAATTATTTTCAATCCAAGTTTGGTATGTGAGATAAAGAGTATATATAAATCATAATGGAGTGGGTGTGTTAAGAGTGGGTAGTTGGTTAAACTGTGCAACTCAACCTGCTTTAGGATTTGTACAAAAATAAAAAAAATAAAAATAAAAATAAATAAAATACACATGATTTTAAGATTGCCAGGCTAATAAGTAGGGTTAGTATTGAGTTCTAATACCAACTTTTGTTCCTCTACAAGCTCCCAAATAATAATCACCAGATTCCAAAGTGGGCTCCTGCTGACTTGCATCACTTGTATACTAAGGCATTCTTTTGCAGATTTTTCACATCTTTACATGATCAAGTTTTTGTTTCTCCACTTTTAATTTTGTCATTTTGAACTTTTTTATTTAACTTAATTTGAGCCTATGATTGAGACTTGCTTAATTTATATGTATGTCAATCAACATCATAGAGTGAATCACAAGGGAGTACTGCAAATAGTATTCAGCCACGTGCCCGAGTTTTTTTTCTTTCCATTTTTGGTTTGGAACAAATTATTATTATTATTTTTTAAACTTCAAGTTGGGTAGCAGAAGATACTTTCATGGGTCAAAGTCTCAAAGGCAATTCCAGTGATGGGTTTTGACTCTACTGGTTTTGTGTGAGGATAAAAGTTTCCACGACAAGAAAATTGTGTAAGTAAAAATAAAAGAACCTAAGTTTCATCTTCACATACTGTTGCGAAAAATTGGCAAGTGTACCGATCGTAACACCATGTAATAAAAAGTGAGTAGAGTATCGTCTTCACAGGGATTGGGTCGAATATCAATTAATTATTCCTTTTAAGAATGGAAGAACAAGAGTTGATTTGAAAGTAATAGTGTTTGTAACAATTGTGAATTATTCAATAATTTATGAACAATTCAAGAGAAGTTGAAAACTTAAAGCAAAAGGGGTTGAGATTTGAGAAAATATTGTAAGAAAACTATTGCAGTAAAGAACGCCAACACCTTTCCGATCCCCACCTTTAATAATGATTAATATTTATGTTTAATTACCCAATTGATCAAACAATTCACCATCTATAATTAATTAGTTAAGCCCTAATCTCTTAATGATTTTAACCTTATTAACCCTATTGGAATCATAATCCCTTAGAAATCCCTTTTCAAGTTAATCTTTATGCCCAGTGAATTTTCACATTTGCAGTTCATATAGCCTATCCTTAGTGCATACATGAACAGTTATCTTACCCTTTGTCAGGAATTAGAATCCCAATATTCCTATTGTAAACCCTAACCCTCGCAATCCTAATAGAGTCGCGAATTCTAAAAGAATTATGGGATGAAGAACAGAGTAAAATAAATTCAATTGAATAATTAACCATAAACTTAACCAAAATACAAGGGGTTCACATCAAGGGTTGTGACCCTTACCACAATATAATAAAAAAACTAGCCAGACATATTCATGTTTGACAATTTAAATAATGAGAAAGAGTTCATGAAAATGTAAAACCGGAAGAAGAAGAAGAAGTCTTGAATCTTCAGTCACCGAGAGCTTCCTCTCCAATTTCTCCTTTCCAAAAGATGATTTTCTTTTAGAGTTTATGCTTCCTTTATATAGCCAGCTACTCAATCAGGTCATAATCATTACATTAATTCTGATTAAATTTCCATTTTCCTCATAATTCCACCAATCAATGTCATGATTCTCTAATTAATTCTGATTAAATTTCCATTTTTCTCATAATTCCACCAATTAATCAGGTCATAATCCTCTCGTTAATTTGATTAAATTTTTATTTTCATCAAACTCCACAAATCAAGGAATGCATTCATGATGCCCGCACGATCAGTGCCAAATTCGCGACTCCACAAATCAAGGATTGCATTCATGACGCCTGCACGATCAGCGCCAAATTCGCGCGGATCGCGCCATTTTCGCGCGTTTTAAGCGAGACTATGCAATTTCAACTTCTCTCTTTCACTTCTTTTTGGTGTTTCCTGCTATCAAAATGCATAAATTGAGCAAGAGAATGATTGAGAAGGAATAATCAATATTTCTTGCATTTATGAGCTTATTTTCACATATTTATGATTAATTCCTTACTTCTTTTACTTAGAAATCACCATATGTTAGACGCATATCACATGCCATTTTTTAAAGGAGATTAAATATTTTTATTCCTGATCTGTCTTATATTTTGGATTAGTTTCATAACTGGCTCAACGAGTCAAAATTTGTAAAAATATTCAGAGAGCCATCTCGCCTCAAAAAAATAATTAGAATTAATTTCAATTTTTTTTTCCAGGATTAGATTATATACTATTTTTATATTTTGGGAAATATGTAGAATTAAATCTTTTTAATGAATAATTTTTTGAAAAGCATTTTTAGGTAAACATATCACTTTAGCCTGTAAGGAGTATGAAAATTTTGACAGATGTTCGTGAAGCGATAGAATTTCTTCGGAATCTTAAAAATCAAAATTTTCATTGATGGGTGCATTGAAAGGTAAGATAAATTACTATGAAAAAATTACACATCACCACAAGACAGGAAAGTATTCAAAATATTTTTAAGTGCATGCTAAGAGAGCCACTCCACAATAAGATAGTTTTTTTTTTTTTTTTTTTTTTTGAAAATATTCTATCAGTTGATCGCTTTGCAACTAGTCCGATGTAGCGCGGGTCCGGGATTAAGATTTTAAATCCCTCCTAAAGATGATATTGGGAGGAATTTTTATTTTTTTGGATATTGAGTTAATAAAATTTATCTTTAAATATATTATGTTACAAAGACATCTATTTAATATTTACTGAAATTTAGACAATGCAAGAAAAAATAAGATACATATATATATTTTTTTGAAGTGATAAAACTCGAGAAAATAAAAATGATATAATTCAAATTATCATAATATGGCCTATTTGAACACAAATTGAATCAGCAATTTAGTAACCTAAAACAATTTGACCCCAACCCATCCTTACCCAAAAATAGCTTGACCTATAATAAGCTGGCCTAATAGGTTGAGCTGGAATTAATTAAATAACATGGACATCAAGAGCGATCATAGGAGTGAACCTCTAAAATATTCTATCAAAATCTTAATTTCTTTTTTAAGTTTTTACATTTGTAACATATACAAACATATCTTCCCACCTAGAATGTTAATTATCTATATTATTATCATATATAGAGGATTTTCACTTGTATGTTAATCCAATTAATGTTAAACAATCCTAAAAAGAATCCCCCCTCCCCCTAAATATAAAGATAATTGATTATGAACCATCAAAATTAAATCAATCCTAATAATTAAAACTTTTTTTTTCTTTCAGAAATGGATTAGTGCAAATCTCTGATTCTTCGTTTATTTTTTTTGGAAACCAAATCTCTGATTCTTTGATTGCTATATAATGCCAGAGGTGGTCCTATATTATCACCTTATAGTGGATCAGACACAAATCGTACATTATTTTGATTTGCTCATGAAATATTATGTTTGGAATGGCAACATTATGGTTTTGGCTCATTCATATGCTTTCATTCCTTTCTCAAACTTTCCATTCTTATTCAGTTCTTCCTTTTTAAGGAAAAGAGAATATTCATTAGTATTTTCAAAAATTAATATCTTTCCCTTTTTTCTTTCCATATCATTCCTTTAATGACGCTCTCAATTAACACTCACAATTTGCATTATACAATTTTTCTCTATCTCTCCCTCTTCCAATAACATCAAGAGAAACACATACTCTTCTATTGACTCTCAAAAGGCCAAACAGAGAAGATGGGCAAGCCTCCATTGAGGAAGTACTTTAATCCTCTATGGTTTGTGTTTCTCACTGCCTTTGTTTTCTGTGTGTCATTTCTTTTCTTAGATTATTACTTGACTTTAACTGATCGTAGGATCACAATTTTACTTCTCAACACCAATGATGCAAAACATTCACAGTTGTCTAAACCCTCTAGTTTTTCTGTCGATTTTAGTGAAACTAATGGTTGTCCAATAAAAACTAGTCACTATACCAATCAAAATAATGTAACAGATAGAGCCTCCAATATACCAAGGTGCGTTGACAATGTTGAACTTGTTACAAAGGTGCACACAAACAATTTGGATCCTTGTTCAGGCAAATATATCTATGTTTATGATCTTCCTAGCAGGTTCAATGAGGATTTGTTGAAGGGTTGTCACTCTCTATCAAAGTGGGTTGATATGTGCCCTTACATGTCTAACTTAGGCCTTGGCCCTAAGGTTATTGAGAAATCAAATGAAGAGGTGCTTTTGAATGGAAGTTGGTATGCAACTAACCAATTTTCACTTGAAGTTATTTTCCATAACACAATGAAGCACTACAAGTGCTTAACCAATGATTCTTCATTGGCCTCTGCTATATATGTACCCTACTATGCTGGCCTTGATGTGGGTCAATACCTTTGGGGTTTTAATGTTTCTACAAGAGATGCTTCACCAAAAGAACTAGTGAAATGGCTGGCACAACAACCTGAATGGAAAAGAATGTTGGGTAGAGATCATTTCATTGTTGGGGGGAGGATTGGTTCGGATTTCAGGAGAATGACAGACACAGAAAAAAAGCATGATTGGGGCACAAAGCTTATGTTCTTACCAGAAGCAAGCAACATGTCAATGTTGCTAATTGAATCGGTTGCTTCATATGATAATGATTTTCCAATTCCATATCCAACTTACTTTCATCCTTCTAAGGATATGGAGATTTTTCAGTGGCAGCAAAGAATGAGAATAGTGAAAAGGCCTTACTTGTTTTCATTCGCAGGTGCTCCAAGGCCTAGTTCATCTTCCTCCATGAGAAATGATATAATCAAACATTGCCAATCCTCTAGGAGTTGCAATTTTCTAGGCTGTTTTGATGGTAATTGTGATGATCCTGTGCATGTTATGAAGGTGTTTCAGAGTTCAGTTTTCTGTTTACAGCCTCCAGGGGATTCATTCACAAGAAGATCAACTTTTGACTCAATTTTAGCAGGTTGCATTCCTGTTTTCTTTGATCCACGTTCAGCATATGATCAATATTTGTGGCATTTTCCCGAAAATGGTTCTAGCTACTCTGTGTACATACCAGAAAGTGATGTCAAAGGGAAGAGAGTAATGATCAATGAGACATTGTCTATGGTTTCAGAAAGTGAAGTGTTGGCAATGAGAGAGGAAGTTATAAAGCTTATTCCAAGAATAATATATCGTGATCCAAGTTCTAGTTTAGAGACCATTGAAGATGCATTTGATATAGCAGTTAAAGGAATTCTTGGGAGAATAGAGGCATTAAGAAGGGATATTACAAATGTCAAGTATTCTGCGGCTGCTTTTGTAAAACTGAACAATACCAATTCTTACAATGCGGGAGACAAGGGGTGCTGAGTGAGTTTTTTTTCTTTCCAAATTCAATCATCAAAGTGACATGAGATTTTAAAGTTAACTTAGAACTTTTGAAGGTCTTGCTGGAGATGTTGTTGCATTTTCAATTTTTTTTTTGTTGTTGTTGAAATGTTGCATTTTCATTTCTGTTTGATCTTGAGAGTAGGGATACCCTTTATGTATTTTGATTATTTTCTACCTGACAATGTCACAATATTTCATTGGTTTAAATTACATATAATTTATTTATTATTAGATGATTTGCCTTTGTTTATTTACACATGCACACACATATATCGTTCAAAATATAGTTATCAGTACGTACCATAAGATGCTTGATTCAATTCCATATCAAAGTAAAACGATACATATCCATGATTGCTCACATGAATGATTCTGAATTATAGAATCATGCAATTCAGTGTTGTATCCGGAATTATATCATAATTTACTATTCAAAATTCAATTCAATATTTGCGATCCCAGATTTGAAAATGGAATACATCTTTTGGTATCGATGTCAAACTTTATAGTGTCAATAGTTAATTTTTGTCAATCTAACAATTATAATTTACTGAGAATTAATAATTAATTGATAAGTGTGACCCAATAAAATATATCTGTTAAATTCATGAAATCAACGATTAAAATTTGATGTCGAACTAAGAAGTTTGACATTGGTATTAAAGTATGTGCCCCTTTGAAAATTGAAATCATTATGGAAAATCCAATCCAATCCAATTCGAAAGCGATTTAAAATTCAAATTAATACAAATTTAAAAAATCACTTAAAATTAGGGAAATAAAGATCATCAAATTAAAATTAATATGAATATGAAATACCATTTAACTTAATGCAAATTATTAAATTGGGCAAGAAAATAACTTATAACATTCAAATTACGTTGGACGTCCTTGCACAAGAAAACAAAGACTGCAAGCAAGAAAAATTATAAAACAGGAGGGGGTTGAGTTGATCCACGTTCAACTCAGTTGGTAATTTGGCGCTGTAACGCCCCGTTCTAGAACCGGTTTGTTAACATCGCATTATGATATTAAGCGCAGTTACAATCACATGGGTTCAATTAAAATCCGGATAAAATTTTCATTTTAAAACATGCCGAATTTATAATACCCAATTTCGTGATCATAACCGTATTACCTTGCAGAATCAGATAAATTAAGCTTAACATCATGTTCTTATTCCATTTTTAAACCATTAATTTACTGCCTATTTATTTCACAACTTCTACTATATTGTAGATCTCTTCATTAGCTACCCGTGGCTTCAAACCGCGCTCAAATCGGAGCACTATAGCCCAAGTTAGGACAATTTGAAGCAACACAAGAGAATGTTGGTCACAGGCCCCGCGCGCTTCAGCGCGCTACCGGGCGCTCAAGAGCGCGCTCTCGGGCGCTAAAGCCTCCACCTGGGCGCTTAAGCGCACGGAGGCAGGAAGCATCAGGTATTTCAGTGTGAATGGGCGCTTAAGCGCGCATCAGGGCGCTCAAGTGCGCAACCCTGGGCGCTTAAGCCCCACCCTGGGCGCTAAAACGCGAGGGGACAGTAAGCATCCCATCTTTCTGCAGTAGAAGGCGCTTAAGCGCGAGCCAGGGCGCTCCAGCGCGCAATCCTGGGCGCTTAAGCTCCCACTTGGGCGCTCCAGCGCGAGGAGGCCGAATGCATTGGCACTCACAAGGGCAGCAGGGCGCTTGGGCGCGCTCCTGGGCGCTTAAGCGCGCTGCCAGGGAATTCCAATTCCCACATTTTTCAAGTCCAAGCCTAGGGGAAGGTGCATCCCCATTACAAACCCCAATTGTCCATGCCCCAAAACTAAATCCTAGCACTCATCTAACCTCTCCTCATGAGATTTAGCTAGAATTTGGGCAGCATGACCTTTGTTTTCTCATCGTTTACCAATTTAAACAAATGGTACCTAATTGATTTTCAGCCCAACCCATTCAACAACTCAATACATAACAAGCATGCATATATTGAATTTCAGGTAGGCATCATTTACATTACATATCCTTTACAAATCATAGAACTTAGCTTACAAAACATTATGATCATTCCCTTGGCTCCCATCAACAAAAGGTGTAACCAAAGGCATGAGCATAGGCTAAGTTCATCCAATGAATCAAGATATACAAATGACCATGGGCTTTCAAAATAAAATCCTATACATGTCAACTACAAAAGGCATGCATAAACTCAAAGAAATGCCATATTTCATGCATAATCCAGATATGGCCACTTGCCACCAGAGGCTCCTGCAGCATCCTTACCTGAAAGGGGGTCCCCACAACACGGGGTGAGATATACGAATATATCCAGTAAACCAGGGGTCCTTGGAGCATCTCTCCACCCCACAGTTCCATATCAGTGTAATAGCAATAACAATAATAATGCAGTGAATACATATCTATGCAAAGTGCAATACATCTCCAGGAGAAATCCCTCGAGCTCTCAAGCTGTCCTAAGGAAACTCAGATGCAAATAGTCCTACTGGCCAGCTAACTACCAAGTATGATTTACGCATCGTCATGCCACGTACCAACATAGGGAAACACCATCCTATGCCACACCAAATGCATACACATACGTATAACAAAGCATTACACTATTTTATTGCATTTATATACAATATAATCACCACTACCCTTTCAGGGCTTGGTGGAACAATCAAGGGAATTACACCCAAGGTCCGAAGGCTTACCTCTAGCTTCAATTCGACCTTTGTTTTTCACCAACAGTTTCAGCAATCAACTTTTACAAATATACACCTATACAAGGGTAATGCAATTAACATATTGCATTCAAGGATAACTCATCATCATCAATCTAAGCTATCCTATTCATACCACAACACAAGGATGAACTTACCTATTTCAAGGACTAATCCATCTCCATTGCTTGCTCCAAAGGTTGGTCAATTAAGGTTGATCCAATTGCCTCAATCCTAGACAACACAAGGATACAATCAATGACCAACCCAACAATGGTTCAACAATGCAAGAAAACTCATAACCAAGTGTCATATTCTTGCAATTTTCCAAAGTATAGTCATATAACTATCTAAGCTCATTTTCACCGATTAAATGCCATTCCTAGCATTTTTTATAACATTCACTAAGTCACATCCTTCCTAGACATAGCAAATTCAACTACATTTCATCAAAATCCCAAAAACACTATTCATAAACCCTAACTCATGCAAATTTCAAGGAATCATGAGGTTCAAGGGTTAGAATCTTACCACCAATGGTCACACAACCAAGCAAGGAGCGTTCCTCAAGCTCCCATGGAGGTTGAAGCCACCAAAACTCCAAAATCTCTCCAATGGCCGAATTTTTGAGAGGCAATATCCCTCTCCACAATGCTCCCCACTCAAAACAAAGCAAGGATTATGAAAGAGGAGGAGATTTGGAGTGGTTTAGGCCTTTGAACGGATGGATTTGGTTGAGATTTGCTTTCTCTCTCTCTCTTTCCCTTTTCTTCTTCCCTCTCTTCTCCCTCTCTTCTCTTCTCCTTTCTGTTCTGCGTCGACGGGCTGGGTGGGAAAAATTGGGATTCTTTTGTGTTTTTAAGTCACTTACTTGGTTAAGTGACTTATGTGGGTATTGGTTCGTCTATCTATTCAACTCCAATAATTACCAAACTTTACCCGAAATTCTGGAATATTATCCTAGGAATATTACTATTTTTATTTTTATATTTTGGGTACTTTTGCCAGTACCCATTTATACCCCTTAATTTTCACTGAGTACACTTTTTAACTCCAAAGTGACTCAAATTCATTTAATTAAGCCTTATACTTAATTTCACTCACTAAAACATGTTTAATTAATTAATTACACTAGATTTACTAATTAATTACGTTGGGCTATTATAGGCGCTGAGTTAGTGGGGTTGGATATGTGTTCGATTCCCGCTGAATGCATTCTTGGGGAGGGGGCTGAACCTTTAGCCATCACTGTTCCCCCGCACTCCGGATTAGTCCCATAGCCGGCTCAAAGAGTCGAAACTCGTGGGGATACCGGAGGGAGCCAACTCGTCTCAAAGAGATAATTAGGGTTGGGTAACTTAAAAAAAAAAAAAAAAATTATAAAACAGAAACTTTCAACTGCAGAAGTTAAGGAAAATATAAAACAAACAAACGTATATTTTTTTAAGGGAAAAACTACTCTTATACAGTGTATATAAGAGTAGTTTTATTTTCAATAAACCTATAAAAAACGATGACATTTTTATTTTATTTTTTACCCTTTTTTTTTAAATAGTAGACTCCACCACATATTTGTCTACAACAGGAGAAATTTTCTTTCATGCAACATAAGATTAGATGAACCTGTTTTTTTAAATAAGTTTTTATTATGTTTTTGAATTCCATAGCATTCAGTGTAGGTATCACGAACAACCTTGGTTCAAACCACTTGCAAAGTTGAGACAACCAAATTCCTTTCGAAGACATCCCCTTATATGCTAATCTGTTTCTTGAAGTTCCTTCCATGTAGCCAAACCAACACCGTAACTACCACCCTTGAAACTTGATAGCTTCTGCGGACTGCAGCAGCAAAGGACTCAAATTCTGCCATTTCCTCTTATGTTAATTTGACAAACAAAGCTCCAATGTTTTGAATAAAGTTCTCACATTTTGATGGTTCCAGCTGAGATGGAGTGCATCCCTTCTTTGCAACCATTTCATTAACCCTCTCAAAGGCAAATATTCTAAAACCTGGATATAGCTAGGGAAGCAACAATAGACCATAGCATGTCATAAATCACATATATTGTGGGTTTTATAAGAGTTATGTTGTAGAAAAAGTGATTGTGTAATGTTATAGAGATTCGTTTTGCGTGCCTTAATTTTTTATTTATTTTTTTGTTTTAAAAAGTGTGGGCCCCACAAAATGTTGTGAGAGTAGGAAAGTTTATTGTGTTATGTTAAAGGATAAAATGAAAACCCATATATTATTATATGGGTTTAACCTGCAAATTTTATCTGCTACACTATGTACTTCGGAAAGTTATACTATGTACTCCTCAGAATACATAGTGTGTGACAGATAATTTTTTTTGCAACAATTGCAGAAATATTTTTTTCTTAGGTGGTGTTTGGTTGGGAGCTTTTCAGCGGATATCTATGTTTCTCAAGTATGGCTTTTAGAAACACCATGTTTGTTTCAACGTTTTTTTACCAAAAACCCATCTATCCAATTTGTCTGGATTTATGAGAAACATAGATATCCGCACTGTTTAGAAACCTAATTTGAAGGTGGGATTTTTCGGAAAACCGGTTATCTGACTTTTAATGCACTGTTGATTTCATAAAGTTACCTAATTTTTCCAATAAAGTTTTTCCTCACCAAACAATTTTTTTTTACATTTTTCTACCTATCTCACTTTATCTATCTTTCCAATCATTTCTCTATCTATCTCATTTTCCTACTATTCCAAAAAAATTTCCTGAACCAAACGCCCCCTTAATGTATATTTCAAAGGTTTCTTTAATTTTTGCTTTTTTTTCTTTTTCTTTTTGTTTGGTCACATTCTTGTGCAGTTCGATCATATAAAATTCTTTACCATAAGACTGTGTTAAGCCAAAACCCAATGTACCACAGAGCAACTCTAGTTAATATTATATGCATGAAGAGAAGGATGCAAATAAGAAAGATGCATGTTATCCTTCTTTTCAATCCATCCAACTTCAATGTTTTCATTCAATCTCTCTTTTTGTCCTGAAATTAACAGGGAAAATCAATGACCAGCTTTGATGTTAACAAGCATCATTTTACGCTAACAGGATACATCAAATGCTTTTAACGTACTCTACGTAAAAGCTTGATGTTTTCACTTCTCCCAAAAGGCCAAAATGATAGTTTGAGCACAACATCGGTTTACTCATGGTGAAAGTGATGTGTGCCAAACAAAAACTACATCATCAAACCAATGCTATCTATCATTGTGCCAAAACCTTCATTGCTTGCTTACTTCACGAACATAGTATGTCAAGAATCATCTAATTAAGGATATCAATAAAACTAAAATTTTAGCTGACAGAATTTAAACATAAGTTACATTTCAGAAAAAACCCAAACATATCTCTAAAGTTAAAGATGAAGTTGTATATACTAAGCCTCAAAATGTTATTAACAGATATAAGGTCAATAAAGCTTTCATTTGATAGCATTCCGAATCTGGATCTTCTTAAGTATAATAATGTAAAACTGAAAACTGTTAGCACAAAATCAGTTGTTCAGATTTCAAAAATACAAATCCATAGATCATGTAGATGTGAAAACTCACTCCCGCTACACTCAAAGAATATCATACGCAACTGAATCAAGATGTATTACTTAAGCTAATTTGCCAATGCAAAAATCAGGACACTTAGTAGTAAAAGTCATTACATAGCATTTTCACATGCTTGTCTTTGTTTATTTAGACATATACATACACACACATATGGAGTCATCTGCAATAGAGTTCAAACCACTTAAAAAGACACACCAACTGCTAGAAACTAGAAAGGTTTATTCAGCCAAATTCCTTTCAAAAGGGTAGGCAAGCCCCTCTTGCCTATCTGTTTCTCAAGGTAGCAGCAGCAAAAACTTAAGGTACACTGGTATAAGCATTAAGCAAAGCACTTCATTATGCATCTTTCCAAGAAGAAAGTGGTGGAGTATCAGATTCCTTCCATGTAGATATACTATACGTGTATCTATCACCCTTGACAGCATCTGCAGCAACAAAGGACTCAAGTTCTGCCATTTCTTCGGGTGTTAATTTGACAGACAAAGCCCCAATATTTTGATTGAAGTTCTCAATTTTTGTTGTTCCAGGTATAGGGCACACGTCTTTTCCTTGGTGATGAACCCAGGCCAACGCAAGCTGAGATGGAGTACATCCCTTCTTTGCAGCAAGTTCATTAACCCTCTCAAATATAGTCTTATTGTGCTCCAGGTTTTCAGGTTGAAATCTAGGCAGAGACTACAACAGATTTAAATACATACACATAAGATTATATCTAGGTACCAATGATGAACATTTAAAAAGATAATAAGACAATTTCCCTGATTCCCATAAACAGTAAGATACATAATTTCAGGTAGGAAAATTCCCAAAACCTGGATCTAGGGAAGCAACAATAGGCCATAGCATCTTATAAAATCATATGTATTATTATATATTTCAAAGGTTTTCAAATTTTTTTCTTTACTTTGGTCACACTATTGTGCAGTCTGATCATATAAAATTCTCATCCCATAATATTATGTGTTAAGCCAAAACCCAATGTACTGCAGAGAAAATTATGTATGCCTGAAGCAAAGGATCCAAATGACGAAAGATATATCATCTTTTCCTTCTCTTCAAGCAATCCAATGTCTTCATTCATATTCTTATTTTTTTCTTTTAAATTTTTGTTTGGCCATTCAGTATCTCCTCAAAGTCCAGTTCTCAATTTAGGACGAAAAGGTTAATTATGGGAAGTGAAAGGACAGTAAGTTCATAGGAAGAATGCAGCCTCGAATGTAACAGGGAAAAACCTGTGACCAGCTTTGATGTTAATAAGCGTACTAAAGCCTAACAGAATAAATCAATGCCAACTCTTTGAAAAGAAATGTTTTATGGAAATCTCAATATCATGCTTTTCCACAAACCTGCCGGAAGTCATCCTGTGACAAATTCTCCATTAACTTTGTTCCTGATGAAAAGAATCCTCGCCCAAGAGGACTATACGCAACGATTCCAATACCAAGTTCCCTGAGAAGGAAATTTTAAAAGTCATAATGTTAGACCTTATATCATTTCAATTTTATTGAAGTCCTAGAAAGAGAAATGTTGGAAAGCAAAACATAATGTTCGTAAATTAAATCACACCTGCAAGTTGGAACTATTTCTTCCTCCACATCTCTTGTCCATAACGACCACTCCAACTGCACAGCTGTTATTGGATGAACTGCATGTGCTCTTCTGATTGTTGAAGCTGAGGCCTCAGACAGACCAATATATTTTATTTTCCCTTCCTCAACAAGTTTTTTAAGCTCTCCAATCTTACAATAGAAGAAAAAGGAAAAGTTGAAGTCATCATACATTGCCTTTTATATATGTAAACAAATAGTTTATTTTCATATCTAACATTGATATCATCAAATCTCAGTTTGTGAAGCACATGTGTGAGTGTGATGTGAAGTGGGGAAGTCCCAAGTGTAACCTTTAATGGGCATAAAATCATTTCTAGTTTTTAGGTCAAATGGTTCTGATGTTAGCACTTTAGGTCAAATAATTTCACTTTTCAGCCTTGCCAAATTCCTACAAGACCAAATGAAAATAATGGTATTAGAGCTTTATTGATTGCATGATTTGGCCTTAGTGGAGTGTTTGGCATATTTAAATTTTAAAAATGTGGACTCATATCTTGAATTTCCAATTCCAAGTATTTTGGGGCCGAATGAAGGAGACTGCTACAAAACCCACATAACAAGTGTCTCAGAGACACTCACATGATCTGTATGTGATGTGTAGTGGACAAGTCCTACATTGAAGAAATTAAAGAAACAATGATGATTTTCGAACTTGGACTGGCCAGAATCCCATGACTGGCTTTTAAGTCAAATAATGTCAATACAAGTATTTTGGTTCAAATAGTTCCATGCTTCATCCATGCCTAACACTCTTCCAAACTCAAATGCCATCAACATATGTATTAGATTGCATTCTCTACCTATATATTATAGAAATTAACTTGGAAATAGAGAAAATCATTCTGGTATACAAAGATATATTTTCATAAGGTATATTGAGGTTCTCATATAATACTTTAAATAATATAAAGATGGCGTTTATGGAACTAGTCAATTGTCTGTCACACAGGCACACACAAAACAATATAGGGAGATAGAAAAGACCTCCAGATTCTAAACTCCATTGAAAAATTAATAGTCGTTTCATAGCATATTGTTCCAACATATCTACCGAATTCTCAAACACTCGAAAAAAAGGAGAAGAGGGATACACTCATACACCGATATAAAGTTTTATCATCTGGCAGACTTTGGCTCATTAAAGTGAAACACATAGGTGGAAAGAAAAAAGATGATTTTGAAAGTAACTGCCTACATTCATCACATGTATCGGAATCAAATTACATGTCCCATTTTCTGTTCCTCTAATTGAAAAATAATATCTCACTAAAAAAATAACAACTAAGAGAGAGAGAGAGAGAGAGAGAGAGAGAGAGAGAGAGAGTTGTCATCTAAAAGGGAGAGATAGGAAAAGGGAGAGGTGATTTGAATCCAAATGTATCCAATCAATCATATCAAATCGTATAAAGTTTTACAAAATCCTTCTCGTGTAATCAGCATTTTCCTATATTAAAATTTCACAATAAGTGTAAAACAGGGAAAGAATCAGCATGAGTTATAAAAAGTGTTCCAATCGATATTTTAGGAAAAAGATCTCATTTCCTGAAGTAAACTAATGCTTCATAAGCCATTAACAAATCAAACTTTTTCAGAATCTCCAGAACCAAGGAACACAACCACACTTGTTAACTAGAAGGTCTAAGAGGGTGCCAAATATGTTGATAATATGAAGAAAAGAAAAGTGTCAAAAGACAAAACCAAAGAATAGAGAAAGGATCGAACCGTGACTTCAATTGGCACACGAGTATCAACACGATGTTGGTAATAGAGATCAATGCAATTGATATCAAGTCTCTTCAAGCTGCCCTCACAAGCAGCTCTCACATATGCTGGATCACCACGGATCTCCCTTTTCCCTTCAGTAACACAGATTGCAAACTTTGTAGCCAGTTCAACCTTCTCTCTCACCCCTCCCTTCAGAGCCTGTCCCACAATTGTATACATGAACACTTCATCATATCACATGATCATATGCATGCTCAAATCACAGGTCAAAGCAAATTGTAACATGATTCAAACCCAGAATTATCATATGAAACAAGGCATAAGAATCAAAAGAAAACCGAAAAGGGTAGCTGAATCAAACTTAAAGTCAGAACCTTTCCAAGAAGGATTTCGTTGGTGTGAGGGCCATAGATGTCAGAGGTGTCAAGAAATGTGACACCACTTTCTATGGCATGGTGGATAAGAGTAATCATGTCAGGTTCTGGCTTAGGAGGGCCATAGAAAGCAGACATGCCCATGCAGCCAAGACCCTGCAAGGACACCTCCAAGCCTTGTGATCCCAGCTTCATTCTACCCACTTTTGCCATTGCAGCGTTGTGATGTGCTTTCACTACCCTTTATCCCAAATCAGATTCCACTATATTTGGTTTATATGAACGAATCCCTAATGGTTATAAGCACTATATAAGGCCAGATAGTGAATACAAGTCTTCGGTTCCTTGTATTCTGCCGGCTACACTATTCAAGGTTTGTAAGTAAAACTATGATTATCTTATTGTTGGATTTGTCTGGTCTATTTCTGAGCAGGTCATAGGTTTAATATCTTGTGTGAATTTACACTCGTCAGTCGTCATCGAGTATGTCATTTTTTTTAGGGAAAATTTAAAAAACACCTTCTCATAACCACTTATTCTCTCTCGAAATTTTTAAATATTATAGGCTAACTTGTCACTTATCCTCCAACTTTTCCATCAAAAAACTACGTTAACAGAGATAATTTTTTAAAAATATCAAAATTACCCTTAAAAACAAAAAAATAGCAGAAAAGAAGTAAAGGTTGGAAAATTTTTATCATGACCATGGTGGTCCTCCCATTGAGGAAGTGACATCTGTAATTTTTTTTTCTCCCTTCTCTCTCCTCTCCTCAATCTCTCTTCTCCGCCCCATCCAATA